GCCCTCTCGAGCGTGTCGATGATCTCCGTGAGTTCTGCTTTCTCCGACAGGAATTCCGCGGACTCTTTCTCGCGGATGTAAGTGCTTGCCTTCAAGTCCGCCTGGTGTGCATGCTTGAATGATGTACACAGCAACTCCATGACAGTGCACATATAGGAAATTGACTTCCTTTATTGTTTGTCTGTCCTCCTCCCTTCTAATATTATACTTCCTGCCTCTACCTCTTGTTCCTCCTATCCCTCAGCCCTTTCCTGCCCTACCTCTGGCTCCTCACCTCCACTACCTCCTCGCCCTGCCCTCCACGTCCCGGGGGCGTGGTGCCAGCGCGCTCGGGCGGCCTCCTTCTGTGGCGCTCCTCCCGTGGCGCTACATACATACAGACGTACGTACGTACGTCAAAATGTATGCATGTGTGTACACATGCATGCATGCATGCATGCATGCATGTATGCGTGCGTGTGTAGTGTGTATGAATGTATGCATGGATGCATGTGTGTATACGTGTGTGCATATATATAATGTGTATGTACGTGTGTATATATTATGTATGTACAAATGAAAACATGCATGCATGCATGTATGTATGGATGGGTGTATGGACGCATGTGTATATATATATATATGGACGCATGCATGTATGTACGTATGTACGCGTGTATGTATGTGTGTATGCGTGTTTGCCGGTATTGATGTGTGCATGTATGTATATATGTATGGATGTATGTATGTATGCATGCCTGTATGTATGTATGTATGTATGTATGTATGTATGTATGTATGTATGTACTAGAACCACGCGCGCGCTTCGCGCGCGCTTAGGTTCTGTCGAGTCACAGACCCAGGAATCGTTGTGAGAAGAAATTGGTGACGCGAAGCGTCGTGGGGGCGTCCTTGGACGTCTGGGGTCTCCTGGGGCCTCTTGAGGGGCCTCCTGGGGGCCATCCCTAGGCGGCCTCGATTTGGGCGGAAGGCTCTGAGCTTGACATCGGGTCGTGGTCCCCCTCTGGGGCCCCCTCTTGGGCCCGTCTTGGGCCCTCTTGGCCATCTTGGGCGCCTCTTGGGCCGTCCTTGGGGGGGGGGGGGCCCCCCGCCCCCCGGGGGGTGGCCTCTTGTGGGCCGCCCCTTGGGGCACGTCTTTTTGTGCTGTCCTGGTTCCCTCTTGGAGCTTCTTTTGGGCCGTCTTGGGGCGGTCCTTGTGGGTCCTCTTTTGGGCCGTTCCTGTAACTGTCGGATAAGCCCAAAACAGTGCGTACTATGTGTTTGAAAGTAATGCCGTTTTACGAAGGGAATGGGTCAATTTTTGCGTCTAGGGGCCCTCTTTGGACGCATGTTGGAGGCTTCTTGGGGCGTCTTGGGGGCGTCCTTGTACGTCTGGGGTCTCCTGGGGCCTCTTGAGGGGCCTCCTGGGGGCCTCCTGGCGGCCTCTTGGGGCGGAAGGCTCGAGCTTGCGGTTCGTGGTCCCCCTCTGGCCCCCCTCTTGGGCCCGTCTTGGGGCCCTCTTGGGCCATCTTGGGCGCCTCTTGGGCCGTCTTGGGGCCCTCTTGGGCTGTCCTGGGGCCCTCTTGGAAGCTTCTTGGGCCGTCTTGGGGCGGTCTTGGGCGCCTCTTGGGCCGTCCTGTAACGTCGGAAGCCCAAAAGACAACTTTGTTGAAAATGTACGTTTTACGAACGGAATGGGCCTATGTTTGCGTTCTCGGGCCCTCTTGGTAAACGCATGTTTGGAGGCTTCTTGTGGGCGTCTGAGGGGGCGTCCTTGGACTTCTGGGGAGTCCTGCTTTCAGCATCTCGTAGAGCCTCTTGGAGGCCTCTTGGAAGTTTCTTGGGCCGTCTTGGGCGTTCCTGGGGCCGCTTTGTCTGACCGGGGAGGCCTCCGGCAAGCCCCGACGAGCCTCCAGAGCCCCCGGTCCCCACATTTGCGGTCGTGGTCCCGGCCCCGGGCCCCCAGACCAGGTGCGCCGTTATATGTATATGTATGTATGTATGTATGTCGGTATGTATGCTTGTATGTATGCGTATATGTGTGTATGCATGTATGTGTGTACGTATGTGTGCTTGTACGGTTGTGTGGTTGTAGGCATGCATGTGTATGTATGCATGGTTGGCTGGATGGATTGATGTATGTATGCGTGTATGTATGCGTGCATGTATGTGTGTAGGTGGGTATGCATGTGTATGCATGGATGTGTGTATGTATGTGTGTATGTATGTATGTACGTATCCACGTGGGTGTGGATATACGTAGGTATGTATGCATGTATGTGTATGCATGTATGGATGTGTGTAATAATGCATGTGTGTATGTAAGGATGTTTGCACGTACGTGTGTACATGTATATGCAAGGGTGTGTGTATGTATGTTTGTACGTGTGTATGTATGTACGTATGCATGCCTGCATACCTGTATGCATGTATGTAGGTAGGTAGGTATGTACGCGTGTGCATGCATGTGTAAATATACATGCATGTGTTCCTCTGTCGTACTGTTTCTCTCTCTCTCTCTCTTTCTCTTCATCCCCCTACCTGGAAGGAACAACAACAAACAAAGCATCGCTGGAAACTCTGCCAGCCCATCTACCTCCGCATCCTCCACCTCCACCTCCGCTGCACCCCCCCCCTCGCGCGCGGAGCCCGCCCGGTGCGAAGCCGGAGGAGAGCCCAGCGTCGATCCAAGACATCCGCCAGGACCTCAGGAAGTGTGCGCTCGTGCTGTTGTTTTCGTATTCGACGATCCTGCCTCCCCTATAAGATGTCATCGTGCTATCACAAGGGATGATTACTAAAGATGAATCGGGGATGGACAGACCCCCTTTAGTAAAACGTGGTTTAGTGAAAACGACCTGAAGCCCAAACCTGGCGGGCGCAGGCCTGGAACATGACGGCCACGGCGCCCTCTCGAAAACCGAGAACGGACAATTCACTAATCGACGTGTCACTGTTGGGAGGTCTGTCCATCCCCGACTGCCTCCCCTATATGATGTCATCGTGCTATCACAAGGGACGAATACTAAAGATCGAATGGGTTTTTTCTGGCCACGGCCAGCCATCTCGCCATCGCTCGGACGTCCACTCCCTGTGTTTTTTTGTCGGTTTCGTGCGTGCTTTTTTTTCGCCAAGTGATGGAGGATGCTGCTCCATGGTCCTCGCCGAAGGAAACATGCACACGTCCGAGCGATGCCAAGACAAGGGGTGATTACTCCAGATTTCATAATAAAAGGGAGGGGGTCTGGACCCTCCAAGACAAGCCATTTCAGACACCCCCCGTGGGAGAACCTTCCAAAACATCGTCCCCAGACCCCCCCAGGCCCTCCAAGATAGCCTGGAAGAGGCCCCCCCCGAAATGAGACCCCCTCCCTTTTATTATGAAATCTGGAGTACCAAAGACCGAAAGGGGGGCTCTTCTGGCCGCGGCCAGCCCCTGCCACGCATACGCTTCCCGACGCAGATCACAGGAGAACGGCCCCGGAGATCGGAGCCCCGCCCGAGCCCGCAGCGGTCCTGGTCCAAGCAGGTTGGCTTTCTTGAAGGGGCCCCTGGAACACACAAGTCAATACACACAGACAAAAGGGTTCCCCATAGTTTCCCCCATATGTTCTGGGTTCCTGTCTCCCCCCCCCCACTTCCCACAGTTCCCCATGATTTCCTGGGAATCGACGATTCATTGTGTCTGTGTGTTTTTTCCCTCCTGATTTATGGCCTCTGCATCCTTTGCGCCCCTGCATCCTCAGAATCCCCCCTTCCTGCCCACACCTCCCCACCTCCCAGGGGGGGAAACGCCGACCGCCTGGTCGGTGGCGATCTCGGACGCCAACTTCTCGGCCTTCGCGGTCAGCGACGCGGTCAGAGCAACCTCCTCCGAGATGGTGGCCTAGAGGAACGCAGAAGAACATGAAAAGGCATACGTACAATTGTTTGACGCTCCGCGCGGATTTCTTGGATCTGCGCTGGACGCCCCATGCCTGGCGCGCAGGGCGCGCCAGAGGCGGCGCGGGAGGCGCCGACAGGGGGGTACCAGCGCGGATCCGAGAAATCCGCGCAAAGCGCCAAAAGTGTATGTTTATGCAGTTTTTTCTTCTCCGAGGAAGAAGAAAAACGAGGCGCGGACGCGGACAATTGGATCGGGATAGACGGGATCTCTGAGATCCGTGGTTCTAGAGGATGCGCCAGGCGCCGCGGCCGTTCCAGAGCGCTGCAGAGCGCTCTGAGCGATGTGCCGGGCGCCGCGGCCGTTCCAGAGCGCTGCAGAGCGCTCTGAGCGTCCAGAAACGCAATGGAAAAAAAAAAGTATAAAAGAAAGTAAAGTATGAAAGAATAAAAAGTAAAAAGTAATTAATAAATTAGATAAAATGGAACAAAAAAACGCAATGGAGTAATCTACTTTCGGATCCTCGGCCTGACGGAACAGAGCACTACAGGGCAGGTTTTGATACATAGGATTGTTTAGAACATATAAGATTTGAAATACATGATAAATATATGAATAGATTTATGCATGAACTCATCGATGCTTTGAATACTAGATCCCTGCATTTTTAATGCATGATCCGCACGCGGAGCATGTATAAAAAACGGCACTGTACACAGACCTGGACCACTGGGGGTCCGCGCGGATACTCTGGCTGTGCGGCGGACCCCCGCCCTGGCGCGCAGGGCGCGCAGGGGGCCGCCCCGGAGACGCCGCAAAGGGGGGTCCAGCTCGGATCAAAAAAGTCCGCGCTGACCTTCGAGCGTTCACGTGTTATGTGTCTCCACGCATGTAAACCATGGCCTTCAGCTGCGCGGACTCCATCTCTCCCGTCTTGATGTCAAACGCAAGATGCTTGCTGCGCTCCTCGCACCACTCGGAGAACTCCTCGAAGACCTTCTGCGACTTCTCTCCCTCACCGACACTCTTCCCCTGCAAGTCGGAAAGGAGCTGAAGCACCTTCCCGACCGGGCTGACCTCCTCAGCGGCCGCGAGCGGGGCCGCGAATGCAGTCGCCAGGATCAAGATCGCGGCGGCCTTCATTGCTGCAAAGGCGAACGAAAATTAGCCTAACAAGTACGTGACTGCTCTTGATCTCAGTCGCTTGAGCCGCCACGGCGACGGAGGAGGGAGAGCCCCAGCGTCCTGAGATCCGGCACCGTACCTCAAGCCACGAATTGGGCTGTCCTCAGGCCCCTCCGGGAGATCTCTGGACTCAGCCTTGGAAGTAAATGAAACGCAGGAGGACATACTCGTACTGTGCATCACCCTGAGCGTGCGTCCGACCAGGAAAAGTACTCGGGAGCGGCCAAGAGGGGGGTGTCCAAGAGGCCAAGAGGGGGGGGTGCAAATCATGACTGGCGGCATGTGCGCGGCCCAGCGGGAGGGGCCAGGGACGTAATGGAATAAGAAGAGGCGCCATGAAATCTGGGGACATATCATGGCCCCCGCCATGATATCCCCCCCCCCCCTAGTCATCACCCCCCTCTCTGCCGCCCCCGAAGTACAGCAACACGATCGCACAGCGTTGCGCCGGAGGCATGGCCAGACGCGCCCGCCGCCGAGCACATGGCGCAAGAGTTCCGAGCGCGCGCGCGCGCGCGCGCGACGCCCATGGGGGGGCGACGCACACACAGGGCCTCGGACAGCCTGTCTGCAAGAGTGTCCTGCTGCTCCTGGGAAACCGCGGAGGGGCGGACCCGGACCCGGACTCGGTCGGGGACGGCGGCGGCACGCCTCACGCTGCCTCGTGTTGCCTGCCGGCGTCCCACGCCGTCTCTGTATCCTGGTCGCTATCCCGAGCCCCCTGTCCCTATCCCAAATCCTCTATCCTTATCCTATGTGTATCTATATATATATATATATATATAAGTAAATACATATATATGTGTGCATATATATATACATATATATATGTATATGTATATATGTACGTGGGTGTGTGCATCCCCATCTCCATCAGTATCCGTATCCCTGCATCCCTACCCCTATGACCCTAGCGCGATCTGCCTACCCAAACCCAGATCCCTTTGGTATTTGGATGGGTCTTCGCATGCGCCATGTGTAGCACCCGGAAGTTGCGGATAACAGTGAAGGAGGCGGGCGCGAGGTGGGTCGCAGATTGGGTCGCGGGATGGGACGCGGGGTGGGTCGCGGGGTGGGTCGCGGGGTGGGTCGCGGGGTGGGTCGCGGGCGAGGGCGACAGCAACGCAACAGCAATCCTCACCGCGGAAACTCGCTTCAGATACGCCCCCAGGGACGGTGAATGGCCGTTCGGCCCCCTCACTCTGATTTCTCCGGTCAGTAGTAGTTCTGTTAGTACTAGTCCCGTAACAAAACTGTCAGCAAGGGCTTATACATATCAGAGCGAGGGGGCCGAACGGTCATTCGTTGTCCCTGGGTGCGTGGCTGAATAAGGAATTCGTGGTGAGGATTCTGCTTTTTGCGTTGTTGTTGTCGTTGTTGTTGTTGTTGATGATGTTGTTGTTTTTGTTGTTTGTTGTCGTCGTCCCACCCGCGACCCACTCGCGACCCGCGACCCACCCCGCGACACACACCGCGACCCACCCCGCGACCCACCCCGCGACCCACCCCGCGACCCAACCCGCGACCCAACCCCCGACCCACCCGCGACCCACCCCGCGACCCACCCCGCGACCCAACCCGCGAACCAACCCCCGACCCACCCGTGACCCACCGGCAACCCACCCCGCGACCCAACCCGCGATCCACTCTCAAGTGAGGAAAAACCTCCCGGACCCAACATTTGAATTTTACTAAAATGGCCCTGGGTGTTGACTACAGAGCCCTGCCCTGTTCGATTAATTCCTTGCGTGCGCTTACTAAACGGCTTCGCTTATCGGGGCGACTATTATGGGGTGGATCCACTCTGCTGACCTTGAAGTAGTCATCTCCACTGCTCGCGCAAACATCCCACCCACCCACCCGCAACTTGGTTTGCAAAACCTGTTAAGACCGACTACGACGACACCGACGACAACGACTAGGACGACACCGACGTCTCCGACGACTTCGACGACGACAACGACGCCGACGCCGACGACGACGAAGACGACGACGACGACGCCAACGAAGGCGACGACGAGGGAGGAGGAAGGACGACGACGGCGACAACGACGACAACGACGACAACGACGAGGGAGGAGGGAGGACGGCGACGACGCGAACGACGACGAAGGACGAAGGACGGCGACGCCGACGACGACAACGACGAGGGAGGAGGGAAGACGACGACGACAACGACGACGACGACGGCGACGAAATAGGAGGGACGACGACGAGACGACGACGACGACGACGACGGACGACGACGACGACGTGGGAGGAGGAAGAAGGACGACCACGGCGACAACGACGACGGAAACAACCACGACGCCAAAGAGGACGACGACGACGAACACGAGAAAAGACAGAGGACGACGTAGGCGACGACGACGACGACGACGACGCGGGAGGAGGGAGGAGGGAGGACGGCGACGACGACGACGACGACGACGACGACGCAAGAGCGCGCGCGCACGCTTTTGTTGAAAACCCGTGTTGCGAAACCCTGGGTTTACGTAAGTCTTTTGGGCGCACGATTTTGAAATCCTTCCGAAACCGATGGGTTTTGAAGGTTTTCGGCATACGCCCGCGACGACGCGCGCGTCTGCACTTCGTCCCATTTCTTGCAGAGGATTATCGCGACGGCACACGCGCAAGGGCGTTCGACAGATTTCGACAGTCGCGCGCGCGAACCCGTTTGGTAGCATTTTGTGAGAATATTGAAAAACCGATGGTTGTCTTAAGATTTCACAAGAGTTCGCGCGGAAGCGTTTTATGCAAGTCAGTGTGGTTTGGAAACTCGATTGCGAAATCCTTCAGGCACCGAAAGTGTTTGAAGGATTTCGGCATGCGCGCGCGACGACGCGCGCGTGCGCATTTCGTCCCACTTGTGCAAGGGATTCGCAGACAAAAATGCTATTATAGAACACAAAATGTCACCGCATATTGTTTATATATATATTGTTTATTTTTCTGTTTCTTTTTTTTTACACAAAAAAAAAACAAAAAAAACTCGGGGGGGGAACCCGGTTCGGCTGGGATGATACGACTTCATAATTAGGATGGACGGGTGTGCAGAATATGAACGAAATCATATTATCCCAGGGGGAGGCGATAAGTCCGGGAGGGGGGGTAGAGTCGATTCTCTTTTTAGGAGGGAGAATGCTCTGCCATCTACAACAACGACCCACCCGCGACCCACCCGTGACCCACCCGCGACCTACCCCGCGACCCACCCGCGACCCACCCGCGACCCACCCGCGACCCACCCGCCACCTACCCACATTGGCTTAGCGAAGAAATCGGCGCCTGCGGCGGGCTCGTTTTCATAATTTGCGAAACGTTGACGCCTGCGGCGGGCTTCTCCAGAGTCTGGCAAACTGCCGACGTCCCCACCGCCCTCTGACTCTTATCCGCAACTGCGTGGTGCCACGTGTATATATATATATACATAAACAAATATACACACATACACCTATATATATATAAATATATATATATAGAGATATATATATATATACACACATCAATATATGTATCCCTATATATATATATAAGTCTTATATAGTGGCGCTCCACATGCGGAATCGGTCGGGCGCCTTGCTCTCTCGCATGGTCTCACGTGCGGCCCCCCGCACCGTCTCCCGTAGGGTCTTCCGTGCAATCTCCTGTGAGGTCTCCCGTATGGTCTCTCGGATGGTCCCGCGCACGGGCGTGCCGCATGGCTTCCGGGATGGTCGCCCGCATGATCTCTCGTGTGGTCTCCCGCGTGGTCCCCCGCAATGGTCTCCCATGTGGCCGCCCGCGAGGCAACCCGTAGGGCCTTCCGCGCGCACAACACAATCTGAGGCCAGGTTGGCTAAGTTGTTATGCTGTGTAGGGCCTCCTGCTGCCAGGGGGGAGGATGAGCATGTCTGGGCGATGCCGAGAATGCTCTTCAAGGATCCTCAATCGGGCGCTCCTAAAGTGTGGCGCGTGCCTTTTGGGGCTTCACGACGACGACGACGACGACGACGACGACGACGACGACGACGACGACGACGACGACGACGACGACGACAACATCTTCGGGGGGGCGCCCCTGAAGAAAGCGGCCCTCCACATGGCCAGCTTTGAAAATTGCGGAACAGACAGTCACCCCCTCTGTCGGCGACTAGAGGAACAAAAAGCAACATAAGCATGCGTTCGCAAGGGCCCGCGTGGATTTCCTGGATCGGCGCTGGGCCCCCCTCACTGACGCGGGGAGCGCGAAAGGGGTGGCGCCAGAGGCGACGCCAGGGGGGCCCAGCGCCGATATAAGGAATCGGAGCGGAACTTCGAGAGCATGTTTTTATGTCGCTCCGCTCCTTCCACTGACAATCGGCGGCGGGCCCGGGGGGGAAAGCGCGAGGGGGCGAGCCTTCGCGGAAGGCGGCGGGGCTTCTCAGAAGCCCCCTGGCCTTTTGAGAAGCGGCGCCCGTCGTCGGAGACAGCTTGCGTAGAAGACTTCTCGGACGGCCGGACGCCTGCCGAGGACGCCTGCCGAGCCTCGTGGAGAAGGCCCGCCCCCGCACCCCCAGAACGCCCCCGGCGAGGCGCAGCCGCTGGAACGCGCGCCGGGGCCGGAAGACCGCCGAGGACCGGCGAAGACGCCCGGGCACCTCGAACTGCTATAACTTCCCCGCAGGCTCGCCGCCGAGAAGAAGAAGACCGCGGGGCGGCTGAAAACCGAAAACTGCGGGGCGGCTGCCCAGGCCGGCTCGGGAGGAGGGAGGAGGAGGGAGGAGGAGGGAGGAGGGGGGAGGAGGAGGGAGGAGGAGGGAGGAGGAGGGAAGAGGAGAGGGAGGAGGTGGGAGGGAGGAGGAGGGGAGGAGGGGGGGAGGCCCGACTGAAGAGCGGGCGACGAGCCCAGGGGGCAAGCGCGAGGGGGCGGGCCTCCACACGGGAGGCGGGGGGCGGGGCTTCTCCGAAGCCCTCTGGCCTCGACAACTTCTCCGCATCTCCCCGGCTCGCCGCCGAGAGAGGGAGGGGTAGGAGGATGGGGAGGAGGGGAGGAGGAAGGAGGAGGAGGAGTGAGGAGGAGGAGGAGGAGGAGGAGGAGGCGGAGAGGAGGAGGAGGAGAGGAGGCAGGGGGAGGCCCGACTGAAGAGCGGCGACGAGCCCAGGGGCAAGCGCGAGGGGGGCGGGCCTCCACACGGGAGGCGGCGGGGCTTCTCCGAAGCCCTCTGGCCTCGAACTTCGCACTTCTCCCCGGGCTCGCCGCCGAGAGAGGAGGGGAGGAGGAGGGGAGGGAGGAGGAGGAGGAGGGGGAGGAGGAGGAGGAGGAGAGGAGGAGGAGGATGGAGGAGGAGGAGAGGGAGGCCCGACTGAAGAGCGGCGACGAGCCCAGGGGGCAAGCGCGAGGGGGCGGGCCTCCACACGGGAGGCGGCGGGGCTTCTCCGAAGCCCTCTGGCCTCGAACTTCGCACTTCTCCCCCGGGCTCGCCGCCGAGAGAGGAGGGGGAGGGGGAGGAGGAGGAGGAGGGGGAGGAGTAGGAGGAGGAGGAGGAGGGAGGAGAGTGGAGGGAGGGGAGAGGAGGAGGGAGGAGGAGGAGGAGGAGGAGGGAGGAGGAAGAGCAGACCGGCTCTCCACGAGGCCGGCCCTGAAAACTGCGGGGCGGCTGCCCCGGCCGGCTCCGCGGCGGGCCCGGCAGGAGAAGGGCGCGGGCTGTACTGGCGCGAGCCTCCGGCCAGGCCGCTGGAAAGGCACCCGTCGGAGCGAAGGCCCCCGCCAACGAAAAAAAAAGAAGAGCGCGCGGGCCGCAGCACGTAGGAAGGCTCCTCCTCCTCCTCCTCCTCCTCCTCTCCTCCTCCTCCTCCTCCTCCTCCTCCTCCTCCTCCTCCTCCTCCTCCTCCTCCTCCTCCTCCTCCTCCTCCTCCTGCCTCCTCCTCCTCCTCCTGGCGCCGCCAGGCCCTCCTGGGCGTTACTGGAGCGCGTCGCGCGGGCCTGGGACGGTGCCCCCGCCCTACAGGGCCCAAACATTGGCGCAGAGGGCCCCCAGAAAAGGCCCCACGAGGGAGGAGTAGGTAGAAACATGAAGTAGGAATGCGGACAAAGTAGATTGGGCTCGGGGCCGCCAAAGTGACAACAACACAAAACATACACCATCGTAGGAAGGCGCTTGAAGCAGATTGAGGTCTGGAAACCCAGGAATGCCTACCTCCAACGACTGGCGTGTACAGTCGAGCCTGATCAGCAGGTCGACCCTCCCAAGCTTGAGGCAGCTCGTTGCCATCGCTCGGACTCCAATTCCCCGTGCACTGTTCGGTTACGTGCGCGTCTTCTATTTCTCAGGATGGTCCACGATGCTCCAAGATGGCCCAGATCTCCTGGCGATGGCCTCGCCGAAGAAGGCGCACGTGTCCGAGCGTTTCCAAGACCCTTGGTTTATATCGGGCATGTCCCCCTACAGGCGGAGTTTGAGCGACATAAGCAATAACACACATACGAAAGCTAAAAAAAAAACAAATCTTCAAAACTTCGTCCCAAGACTGTGGTTTGACTATTTTGGAATATGCCTCTTGTAGAGGGACGTGCCCGACCTAAGCCAAGACCCTTGCTGCCCTGTGCATGGCGCGCGCTGCCCCCTTGCACTCCAGGGGCACGGGGTGCTCTTGCGCCCTTCGCCCTCTTCTGGGGGGTCGCGCTACCCTCCGAGGGGTCTCACGTTGGGTCGGGCATGTCCTCCCATGGGCGAATTATGCACGCACAACAAGAGATAGTCAAACACATGTTCAAAGCATATACACGAAGGGTCGTCCCAAGGCAATTTTTTGCTGACTATTTCTGAACATCCCTCCTGTAGAGGGGCATGCCCGACCTACGTCTCACGCCCTCTCGCGCGCCTCCCCTCCAATCGGGCCCGACTGCAGGCGAAGAAGGATCACAGGGAGCAAAGCTCTCGGAAGCCCGCACGGATCTTCTTGGATCGACGCCTCCAGAAAAGCTGGGCGACGCTCAACGGGGGGGGGGGGCGGTAAATGGGAGGGAGGGGGACGAAGACTGCACTTCTCGGACCCAAACAGGGCCCCTGGGGCCCCCCATGTGGGAGGGCCCCAAAGGGCCCCTTTTGGGGGGGCCCCAAGGGGCCCTTTTCCTGCGGCCCCCGCGGCTCCCCGGGCCCATCGCCCCCTCTCCGTGCGCGGCGCCCCAAAACGCGCACCACGAGGCGGCGCCTCGGGGCGGCGCCGTGGCACCGCCAGGGGGGGCGGGGGGGCGCAGGGAGATCTCCTGGACATCGGCGCGGAGATCGATGGCTCCAAGATGGGGCCCTTCGGAATGGGGACCTGAGGAGAGGAGGGCTCCGAGTTTGGATCTTCGCTGTGTGGAGCGCGTCGTCCTCAGGACCGCAGCCCTCGGGACCTCATCTTTGACCCGCCGAGGAGATCTCATTTTGGAGCGGCCCCCCATGGCGCGCTCCGGAGGCGCCATGGCAGGAGAGGGGGGTGGGGCGGCGCCGATCCGAGAAATCCGCGAGGACTTCAAAAAGCTCACTTGCACTAGACGAGCGCATCCCACTGCTCGCAGAGTAACTGCTCGCAAATGGCCCGGATCCGCCGCGGGGGGATCTACGATCTATTACATCCAGGCGAACATGTGTTTTTGGGCATTTGCGAGCGGGCGCTTTGCGAGTAGTGGAACGCGCTCGTTGGTGTACAGTCGGACATTGCACAGTTACACATCCTTTAAGAACATGAGACCATCCACCGGCCAAAGCGAAGAACCTTTGAGAGTGACCTCCCCCACGATGTGCAAGAGCATCCAACAAACAGGAAGAAAATCAGGGTATACCCTCCCCGAACCGACCTCGGCATGATGCCCTGGCTCGACCGTGTGCCTCTCTTGATCCTCCTCGCCTGGCCCTGACCGTCTCTCAATCAGAGCCCGTTCTCGGACATCGCGCTCCTTGCGGGGAACGACAGGGGGAATCGGCTCTGGGAGGGGGAAAGCATCGAGCTTCGCATCGGCGATGCATCGCCGACAGATCGGCGATGGGCCCCCGACAGCGGACCCACACGCTCCCAGGCGGGGTGCGCCAGGCGAACCCGACGGGCGATAAGTGGGCGAAATGGATCGATGCGTCCCCCTTCACTCTCCTCCTCCTCCTCCTCCTCCTCCTCCTCCTCCTCCTCCTCCTCCTCCTCCTCCTCCTCCATCCTCCTCCCCCTCCTCCTCCTACTCCCTCCTCCTCCTCCTCCTCCTCCTCCTCCTCCCTCCGCCCCCGATCCGGGGTCAAGAATCGATCCGGGGTCTCCTGGGTCTCCAGCGGTGCGCCCCGACTGGAATCTCGGAGCGGTCCTCCCTCCGCCCCCGATCCGGGGTCAAGAATCGATCCGGGGTCTCCTGGGTCTCCAGCGGTGCGCCCTGGCTGGAATCTCGAAGCGGATCCACCCGCGGCCACGACCGCCGCCCCGGGCGGCCTCGAACCTCCAGGGGACGAGCCTCGACCCTCGGACCTCGGACCTCTGAGCCCGATCGCTTCACCATGCGATCCAATACTGCATAAACACCAAAGGAAAAAAAACACAACTACACCTGAGAAAACCCCGATCAGTGGATGGTGGGGAAATCAGTCATACGGATCCTGAGATCGATTGTGGGATCGATCGTGAGATCGAAAGTAGAATCGAGAGTTGACCATTGTAAGGTCGATCGGTGGGGAGATCGATCGCGAGATCGCTCGTGCGATCTCTAGTGAGATCGCTTGCGAGATCGATTGTGAGATGGATTGTGAGATCGATGGTGAGATCGATAGAGAGGTGGGACATGAGATCGACGCTGAGAACGATTGATAAGAAGATCGACCAAGAACCCGGGAACCTGGGAACCTCGCCGCCCACCGAAATCGGCCCGGGAACCGGGAACCTGGGAACTGGGAACCGGGAACCCGGGAACCAGGCCTGCCACCAAAACAGGCGTGAAACATTCGCCTTCTCTTTCAATATCCGCTTGGACCACTTCAGTGCAAGCACTGATTGGGGAATAAGTGTATGGTTCGTGAATTAGTAAAATTGCTATTGAGATCGATTACGAGATTGATAGTGAGATCGATTGTGGGGTCGATAGTGAGAACGATAGTAAGGTCGATCCTGAGACCGATAGCGGAGTCGATTCACTAAGATCGATGATGAGCTCGATCGCGAGATCGCTCGAGCGATCTATCGTGAGATCGATAGTCAGATCGATAGAGGTGGGTAGGGAGATCGATGGTGAGACCAATCGGTAAGGAAATCGACCAGGAACCCAGGAACTCGGAAACCTGGAACCCCCCCCGCCCAACGAAATCGGCCCAGACCCAACAACGGGGAGACCGGGAACACGAACGAGGAACCCAAGAACCCAGCCGCCCACCGAAATCGGGAGGGAACTTTCGGCCAACTCTCTCAACATCCGCTAGATATCCCACTTCAGTGCAAGCACTGACTGGGGAACACATTGGAGGCCTGGGAATGGGCACCAACACCAACACAGGGGGGTTGCCTCCACAGGGGGAAGATGATCCTAGATTTCGGTGTTGGTGGAAATGCTTCGGTCACCTTGGAGGCCAGAATACTACCACCATCACCGAGATCGGGATCTTCTTCCCTCGGTGGAAGCACACTGCCAATATTGGTGTTGGTGTTGACCTCTCGGCCTACGAAACTCCGCACTTCTGGCCTGGCTCTCTGGACGCGACCCCGCGGCCTCCACGGCCCCTGCGACGACGGCGAGCCGGGAACGGGTGGCACGCATGCCCCAGCTCGTGCGCACGAGGGAGGGCGAGGGCCGGGCGGGGGCGGGGGCGGGGAGGTGGGGAGGGAGGCGGTGGTGGTGGCGTATACTGTTGGGCCCCCCATGGTGTTCTCCCGGGGCCATCAGGACCATGACGAGGAGGCAGGGGCAGGGGGAGCCCGGGGGGGAGCGACGAGCGAGCGAACGACGAAACTAGAGGGGGCTCCGAGATCTGGGACAGCTGCGCAAGAGAATCGCTCTCGCATCGTCCACTTCTCGGTGGGGCGCTGCGACCCGCCCCCCCCCCGGGCATGTCTGGGGAACCAACCCAAGAGGTACCGATATCGCTACTCTCCAGGCCTCTCCTGGGGTGCGTTCTAACCAGGATTTCGAGGCGAATCCAGCGGTGGCGACGAGGGCCTCCTGGGAGGCCCCAAAAAAGAAAACGAGGGAAAGGTAGCTGTATCGCTACCATTCCCTGCGGTTAATAATTTCCCATGCAGTACCCCTGAGCTCCTGAGCTCCATTACCGTCTCGCTTGGTCGCATAACGCATCGGCAACGCATCGGCGAGCTCGGCGATACATCGTCACCGTCGGCGCGGAGAAGATCGTGCTCCACATCGAGCCACATCGGCGACGCATCGGCGATGCAGCGCGATCCTCCGACCCTGTCTGCTGCCAGGACCCCACCTTGGCGACGAAAAGAAACGGGTCTTACGCGAGATGCCACGTCGACCTTACGTGGCCGCTTACGCGGGCTGCCAGCGCGGCACGCCACATTGGAGACGAGGGCGCTTACGCGCGACCCTACGCGGGCAGCCCACGCGCCAGTGTCGACGAAGACGACCCCGTTTTCGTCGCTCATCTGGGAGGCCCGGCATTTCGCAGTCGGAGCTCCTGAGCTGCACTCCCGCCCCCGGTCGCATTGCCGTTGCCCCCGAGCTCCACTCGCACGCCGCCGCCGGCGCGGCACCCCGGCGGCGCGCGGCCACGAGAGACACCGCCGCGCCAGCCTCGGGGGGCCCCGGCGCGGTGCGGCGAGAGGCCGCGCGGCGACCTCGAAACCACGACACTGGACTACACGGCAGGTTCGTGCGGCGTCGGCGCGCGCGGAGAATGTTGGCGCCGCGTCCATCGTTCAACCCAGAATCGATCGCGGCCCCGATCGTTCCAGACAAAATTCCGTCGGGACCGGTGGCGTTACCGTGTCCCTCGGTGGATCCGCGTCGCTGACTTCAACCTTGAAGGCCTTCGCCGGCGTCGCCAGCGTGCCAAAGTCGAATGAAGTTACTGCTCCATGTCTCGGCGGCAAGCGAGGGGGGGGAATCTAGAATTAAGTCGGGCGTGTCCCCCATAAAGGGGAATTTTCGGCGAAAAATAAAAAATACCAAAAACATACTCTACAAATGATCCCCATACTATTTGAATACTATTTTTGAATATTCCCCCTGTAGAGGGACAGGCCCGACTTAAAGCTAGAAGGAGAACAACTTCTCAGAAAGCCGCGGGGCTTCTCGGAAGGCCTCTGGCCTGCTGCTGCGTCTTCGGGGAAGGCTTCGAGAACTGATATTGGAAGGCCGGGTGCCTTCCGAGAAGCCCCACGCCTTCTCCTTCCCCCCCGGGCTCGCCGCCGAATGTCACGTGGTACTCCAATTTCCGGGGTTCGTGGTCACCGCACGGAACAGGAGGAGGAAGAGGACTGGGGGGGCCGAGAAAGACGACACCGCTGCGGGATATGATAACGTTGAGCCGGCCTTGAGTTGACGTTGAGCGGGACTTGAGTCGAATTTGAGTCGAACGGATCAATTAGCTCGCTCCCGAGAGGGCACCCAGAACAAGAATCTAACATGTGGGACCTGCTGTAGACCAGGAGGATACCGTGGACGAAGCTACTCTTCCTCCGACCTCGTACTGCGCCAAGCGCAACGGCCACATTGTCTACAAACGCATCCACCCCGAATGTGTCTGTATGTATCTGTGTGTATCTAAATATGTACCTAACGATACCCTCAGAAGCCCTGGCACTGTGCGGTGACAGTCCGTGCGGTGACCTCGAAATCAGGAAAGACATGCCCTGACATCCTTGCGAATCAATGTCTTCGAGCCAGGTGCTGTTGCCTGGTTTCGTGCCCTTGGCCCTCACAGAGCGATCGGGAACGAACCATGGCGCAGAAACATACTTTGGGTCCGGGGCTCTAGTCGTGATTTTGTCACGTTCTTGGCATTGTCTCGGCACGTCGGACTTCAGGGTCACGACAGTTCTGTCACCGCACGCCCCGGTCGCCCGGGACGTCCTCGGAGAACGGCCCACGTCCCCAAACCGTGCGGGCACCGTGGATTCCCACCGCCTAACCCGGTCGCGTGGTGGTCGACCCCTGCTCCAGGGAAAACCTGACTGCCCATGTTGGGCATACCTGGTGAACTCTGTGTCGCCAGATGGTTAAGTATGAGTCACGTCTATCTATGTTTAGGTCTGGCATGTCCCCCTACAGGCGTTGACGAAAATGACAAAAAAATCCGCCGACCCCTTGGGGTTCATCGGCGTGTGAGATGTTCCCCCTCCCCAAACCCCTCCCCCGGGAGCCCGGTCCGGTCCATTTGGAGGGGGGGGGGGGGGTCCGGCCGGACGGGCCGGACGGGCCGGAACCCCCCGGAGGTCTCATCCGCTCCCGAAAGACGTGGAAAAACACGTTGAATTCGTGTAGGGACGCGTCTGGTGGCCTCCAAATGGGTTTTGGACGCCCCACGAGCGCTCCAAGACGTCCAAGTTTGCCCGAAGACGGGCCACGAGGCGTCCTCGACGGCAGAAGAGGTCCCCACGAGCTCCCCCGAGGGCCTCCGAGATGCGTTCCACAAGGGTCCCTAGACGCCAAAACTGTGCCATTCCCTTTGTGAAATGTACATTTTTTAGAAATTCAGCTTTGGATCTTTCCGATGCTCCCCGACGGCCCAAGAGGCTCCCAAACCCGCTCCCAGACGGCCCCAGAAGCCTCGCAGAGGGCCCCCCACAGACCCCTAGAGGGCCCAAGATGGGCCAACAGGCGTCCAAGACGGCCCAAGAGGGCTCCGAAAACGGCCCCAAGAGCGTTCCAGGAGCGTTCCGAGCTGCTTCCCCGAAGCTCCACATGGTCCCAGACGGTCCAAGAGCGATCAGAAACATCGACGACGACCTCCCGACGGCTCACGAGGCCTCCCCAGACGCCCCCACAGGCATCCAAGATTCCCCCCAAGAGGCCCTCTAGACGCAAAAAATCGCTCGTTTCCTTTGTAAAACGTATTTTTTTCACACGTGCGCCTTTGGGGGTGACCCCCGCTCCTGCACGGCCCCAGAGCCCCCCAAACCCGCTCCCAGACGGTCCAAGACGCCTCCAAGAGGGTCCGTACATTGCCCTCGAGGGCCCCAAGACGTTCATCGGCGTGTGAGATGTTCCCCCTCCCCAAGACCCCTCCCCCGGGAGCCCGGTCCGGTCCATTTGGAGGGGGGGGGGTCCGGTCGGACGGCCCCGGACGGCCCGGAATCCCCCGGAGGTCTCATCCGCTCCCGAAAAACATTGAAAAACACGCGAAATTCTATAGGGACGCGTCCCGGACGGCCCGGAACCCCCCGGAGGTCTCATCCGCTCCCGAAAAACGTGGAAAAACACGTGGAATTCGTGTAGGGACGCGTCTGGTGGCCTCGAAATGGGTTTGGGACGCCCCACGAGCGCTCCAAGACGTCCAAGTTTGCCCGAAGACGGGCCACGAGGCGTCCTCGACGGCAGAAGAGGTCCCCACGAGCTCCCCCGAGGGCCTCCGAGATGCGTTCCACAAGGGTCCCTAGACGCCAAAATTGGGCCATTCCCTTTGTGAAATGTACATTTTTTAGAAATTCAGCTTTGGATCTTTCCGATGCTCCCCGACGGCCCAAGAGGCTCCCAAACCCGCTCCCAGACGGCCCCAGAAGCCTCGCAGAGGGTCCCCCACAGACCCCTAGAGGGCCCAAGATGGGCCAACAGGCGTCCAAGACGGCCCAACACGGCTCCGAAAATGGCCCCAAGAGCGTTCCAGGAGCGCTCCGAGCTGCCTCCCCGAAGCTCCACATGGTCCCAGATGGTCCAAGAGCGATCAGAAACATCGACGACGACCTCCCGACGGCTCACGAGGCCTCCCCAGACGCCCCCACAGGCATCCAATATTCCCCCCAAGAGGCCCTCTAGACGCAAAAAATCGCTCGTTTCCTATGTAAAACGTATATTTTTTCACACGTGCGCCTTTGGGGGTGACCCCCGCTCCTGCACGGCACCAGAGCCCCCCAAACCCGCTCCCAGACGGTCCAAGACGCCTCCAAGAGGGTCCGTACATTGCCCTCGAGGGCCCCAAGACGTTCATCGGCGTGTGAGATGTTCCCCCTCCCCAAACTCTTCCCCCAGGAGAAGGCAGAGGAGGAGAGGCAGGAAGAGGAGCAGGAGGGAGGAGCAGGGGGAGGAGGAGAGGAGGAGAGGGAGCCGATCATCGTCATCAGTGTCGTGATCATCAACGACGTCATTGCCATCGACAAGGTCAGCCCAAACATCCCCGAACATTAACAGTTAGCGGGACATCCCGCTTGGAAACCGCCGACAACCGTAAGATGTCTCCGGGGTGTAACATACTTCCCTGGCTCCGGCACCCGTGCAAGGCCCCAAACACAACCCAAAAAACTTCCTGTGCCGTCTTGGGGTTCGCTTGGGCCGTCTGGAAGCCCTCTGGGCCAGTTTGCGACCCATGTCGGCTCCCCTTCTCGCTGTGACGGGCCCTGAACAGCCTCATTTTCCCACGGTTTGCAAGGAAGCTGTGGTGAACGATCCCAAGGAAAATCCAAGGGGTCGGCGGATGTGGCGGAAGCCTGAAGAATCAAACGACACCCAAGCATGGTCACACAATCCTAGAAAAATCGTCCCCAGACTATTTGTCTGACTATTTCTGAAATTCCCCTCTGTAGAGGGACGCGTCCGACTTCAGTCTACGTCGCAGGGCGCCAGGGGGCCGGGAAGGGGCGTGCCGTCCCTGGGCTCGGCGGTCCTCCTGCCCCGGTGTGGGCCCGCCGCGGTGGCCGCGGCGACCTCCCAAACCGACCCGAATTGGGCGCCCGAGTTATCCGGGGTAACTCGGGTCCGGGGTAAGTCGGGTTTGGATTCCCGAAAAAGGAACCCGAGTTAGCCCTGACCCGAGTTACCCCTGATGATTCGGGGCTCTGGACGCCCGAGTTATCCGGGGTAACTCGGGTCCGGGGTAACTCGGGTTCGGATTCCCGACAAACCAACCCGAATTATCCCTGACCCGAGTTACCCCTGATGATTCGGGGCTCTGACCGAAGGCTTGCTGCGGGAGGGGATATCAGGGCCACACTCGTGTCTCTGGCGGCCGCCCGGCATGGTCCGGGCTCCCCGGGGACCGCCCTCGGCGGGGCGCCTGGCTGCTGGCGCGCCCCCCGCAGCGAGACGCCCTCCCCCACGACGGCGCACGAAACCCTACAGAAGGTACCGACACCCCTGCTCTTGGGTCGGACATGTCCCCCGACAGGCGGGTTCTGGAGGAAAAAATGAAGACAGTCAAAACATACTCAAATGTTGCATTAATAGAGACAATGTTTCCAAATTCCTCCTGTAGAGGGGCACGCCCGACTTACCGCTACTTCCCAGACGTAGGTCCGGCAATTGCGACTACAGGAGGTCCACGACCACTTCGGGCCAAAAAACCCAAACCAGAAAAAAAACAGGAATTCTTGAAACCAAAACCTGGGGAGGTCGACATCCTGAAAAAAACTCAAACACCAAAGCTGCGAAAAACTCAAACCCACAAAAAACTTCAAAAAACCTGAAGCTCAGACCTGGGAAAAACTCAAACTACACAAAAACTCCAGAAAATCTCTAAACCGAAACCTGGGAACAACTTTGGATAAACTCTCGGAAACTCTGGAAAAACTCTGGAAACAGAATCTAACAAAACTCTTAAAAAAACTCTGGAAACACAAACTCTGGAATAACTCTAAACGACTGAAAACTTATCATAAAAACTAAAATAACTCTGGGAAGCTCTAAAAAATTCTAAACGCTTGAAAACTCTTAAAACAACTCTACAACAACTTTGACAAAAACTCTAAAACAACTCTAGAACAAAAAACTCCAAACAATCTTTGGACAAAAAACAACCTTCCGGGTTTGAGTGTTTTCAGGTTTGAGCTTCAGGTGTTTTTAGGTTTTCTGTGGGTTTGAGTTGTTTTTCCCAGGTTTCGGGTTCAAGATTGTCTGTAGTTTCTTATGTGTTTGAGTTTTCCCCAGGTTTTGTTTGGGGTTTTCTCAGGTTGTCTTGGATTTTGAGTTTCCCATTCGAGATGTTTTGATATGTGTTTGGAGTTTGAGTTCCTGGCCGAAGATTTGTTGAAGATGTCGGCAGGTTTTCCTATGGACCGCCTGTAGTCAATTGCCGAACCTAATCCCAGACCTCCCCCAGGGTGCGTTCTGATCAGACCTTCGAGGCGAACCCGGTCGTCGCAGCACAAGGGCCTCCCAGCAGGCCCCCATCAGGGCGAAGACGAGGCAAAGGAAGCGGCATCGGTACCGCTTCCTCCTCTGATAGGCAGAGGGCTTCGCCACCCGGTGCGAAGTTCCCGCCCCCCCAGCCGATCATCCTCATCTTCCTCGGGTAGCGGTATCGGTACCGTCTCCTCCTCTGACCCACGGTCGCCCCGAGCCCCGAACCCCCACCGACTCACCACGCGGCTCGGTCACCACACCGTTTGGGGGCCCTCCGACAGCCGCGAGCACCAGGAGCAGCGCGCCCGCGGCGCTGGTGGAGCTCCACCCGCCCGCCGAGGCGACGGAGGGCCTCGCCGTCGCGTCGCTCAGCCCCTGCAAGCTCGACACGGTGCTCGGGCACTTCTGCTTGATGCAGTCCAGCGCGTCCTGAGGGCGGAGGGCCCTCCGACGCTTTCGTCAGCTCAATTGGAGAGGGTCGCTCGCCTCCGGGGGCCTGCCGGCAGCTGCGCCTCGCCGAGGGCCCTCCCGGGGTGCCCGGATCGTCCCGACAGGCCGCCGGGCGGGAAAGCCACCTGACTACCTACCAGACCACCCCAGCCCAACCCGAAGACCCGAATTTCGGGTTGGGGGGGGGTACGGGTTCCATACGTGTCTTCTCGATGTTCCCCGACACCCCCCCACTGGAAATGGAGGGTAAATCTGAGCCTTCGGGTTGGGTTGGGGTGGTTTGGTGGGTGGTGAGCAACGCCTACAGGTCGACGGCATGCCCCGATGGCGGATCAGCACGCTCCCCCGGGCGGGCTGGGCTCTCGGTCCCCCCTGGGCGATCCGTGGGCGATCGGGGGTCCATTTATCCCCCACGGAGCCTATCCCCCCTGACATTGCCTGTGAGTCCTGGATGGTCTTGTCCGCCTTCGCGTCGGCCTCGTATGCCTTCACCGCCGCCAGGTTGGTGGCGTCGCACTGCAGGTCCACGATGGCATCGCAGCCGCCAGCCATTTGGATGTAGCGAGCGAAGGCCCACTGGCAGACGCACCAGTTGCCGATCTTGCATTCGCCCTCCGTTCCACCATCCTTGGCCATGCAGGGCTGGTTCTCTGTGCACCAGTTTGGCTGGCCGGTCTGGGTGCAAAAGTCGGACTTCATCTGGATGCAGATATGGTGCGAGCCGGCGTCGTCGTCGCCGAGGTCCTGGCACTTCCCGTCGCGCGTGAACCTTGCGCCGGTTCGAGGGGGGGCACTCGAGGCCCCCCTACCTGGCCCCGCTATCCGCGCCATGTCCGAGGCTACCTGGGACTCGGCTATCCGAGCACAACCCTGGACGCCAGAGAAGCACGACCGAGCAACGACTGCCGAAGGACGACGAAGGCGGCCACCCACAAGCTACTGGCGGGGCGGCTGTGGAGGCATGAGATGAGAGAGACCGCCAGGAGGGGCGGAGGGAGGGAGGCCTTCTGAGGTGAGGGAGACAAAATGTTGCACAAACCATGTTCTGCAAAAGAAGGCGGAGAGCAGAGGGGAATGGCGGCGGCGGACACACTCCATCTCTCTCTCTCTCTCTCTCTCTCGCACACACATAGATACACATATATACATATATATAGATATGAACATATATATATATAGAGAGAGAGAGAGAGATACGGGCACAGACGCATATGTACACAAAACAACTACGTTACAGACACAGACATAAACACACGAACACCCTCCAGGAAGGTAGCGGTGTATATAATCATTGGCTATTATTCGTGGTATATGCACCTTCGCCCTCCCCAGAGGCCCAGGAACCATCCATTGGAGGGTGCCTGTGCGTCCGTATATCTACAAAAATAGGTACAAATACATATTTATATATAGATATGTATACAGACATGCCTATATATGTATGCCGCAGCGACAGAGGCGATACAATATAGACTTTGGGGCAAAGTCTTGAGTCATGCTCGTGAGGCCCGCAAGCATGTTGTATTGTTTTGACAGGGGCGGCGGGGGTGTCAACATATTCCCTGCTGGGCGCAGGGCTACCATCCCTGACAACAAAGAATACACAAGTCACCTCGCGGCTAAATCTGGATCATGCGCGGCCACCCCGTGTTCACTGGGCGATCACCGTCAAGTGGTTTAGACGGCGGGGGTGGTGGCGCGTGGCCTGCTGTGCGCAGGCCCACCAGAAACAATGATGTGCATTGGTGTTCGACAATGGTGGTGTGAGCCGACATGTTTCCCGATGTGTGCTGTTTATCCCGCACGTGGCGCACCTGGCGCACTCGGAGCACGTGGCGCATCTGGCGCACCAGGCGTGCCTGGCACGCTCGGGCCCAAGGGGTGCCTGGCGCGCGTGGCGCTTCTGGCTCGCGTGGCGCGCCTCGCCCAAACGTCGCGCACCTTGGGTCGGCTTTGGTTCCCAGTAGCTGCCCATCTAAGACGACCGCTAAACATGCTCAGGCTCGGGTGTTGAGTATGTGTTGGGAGGGCGGGTGAGCTTGTCCCCTTACCCCCTCCCCTGGACCTGGACGGAGGGGCTGCGAGTCGTCAGGGCGTCCAAGATGGCCCAAGACGGCTCCAAGAGGGCCTCAGAGAGTCCAAGATGGCCTCCAAGATCGCTCAAGATAGCCCAACATGGCTCAAGATAACTAACATCATGCCTCCAAGAGGCCCCAAGAAGGCTACAAGAAGGATCCGACTGCTTTCCCCGAGAAATCAAAATCCTTCAAAAACCCATAGCAAACCAATGATGTTGGCCTTCTCGCCTTTTCGCTTCCGATGCGCTTTTGAGGCCTCAAGATGGCCCCAATATGGCCCAAGAGAGCTCCAAGAAGTGCCGAAGAGGCCCACAAGACGGCCCCAAGACCGCTCAAGATCGCCCTCAAGAGGGCCCCAAGATCGCCCCAAGAGGCTACTTGGATGGCCCCGGAGGGGGGAGGCAAATCGAGGACCCCCCCTCCTTGGATCGATGGCCTCCAAGATGGCCCCAGGAGGCCCTCCGAAGCTCCCAGGAGAGCTCCAAGAGAGCCCAAGAGGGCCCCAAGAGGGGCACCAAGAGGGCCCCAAAACGCTCCAGAAGAGCTCCAAGAGGACCCCAAGACCCCCCAAAGAGCCCAAAGAGGGCCCCAATATGCCCCAAAAGAGCCCCAAGAGGATCCCAAGACGCCCCAAAAAAGTCCCATAGCTCCAAGATAGCCTCCAGCATGGCTCAACACGTTCCTCCCCCTCCTCTCTTTGATTCACTATATGCGTCTCCGCTTTCCATTTCCCGTCAGCTCTCGTGTGGGCAGGGCTTCTGAATGGGCTGGTGGGGATTCCCGAAGCGTAAAAACTTGAAAAACTCGCATGTTACCGGAGGTGTAGACCAATAGCAAGTATTCGCTTGAAATGACAGCTCAGCAATCATTGTACCAGAATGCTCAACGACTCGATATGCAACATGCATTCATCATGGTAGCTCACCCCTTCATGGGTGAATTACTTCTTTCATCGGGGGGGCGAGATTCTCTGTCCCAGATTCCAAGCCCGAAACTGCTACGCTAACACATCCTACGAGGAACCTGGCCATCTTCAATTCAAATGTTAGGAGCCTCCTTTGGGCCGCTGGGCGGCCTCTTGGGCCATCTTGGGGCCTCTCTTGGGCCGTCCGGGGGCCTCTCGGGGCGCCCTTGAAAGTTTATAGCGCATCTTCGGGCCCCTCTGGATGGAGTGCGGCTTCACTGATGTTGGGCGGCTCCTTTTCAAAATGTGGCTCTCGCCTGAACAACGCGCAAACTTTTGTACAAATGTGTCTCCTCTGCAGGGGTCTTGTCGGAATCCTCCTGGGGCCGAACGGACGCCTTCCAGAGGCGATGCCGAGGGCTCCACTCTTGATGTTTTCCACCACCACCACCACCACCACCATAAGTTGGAGTGGGAGGGGGTCCTCCTCCCTCTCCTCCTCCTCCTCCTCCTCCTCCTCCTCCTCCTCCTCCTCCTCCTCCTCCTCCTCCTCCTCCTCCTCCTCCTCCTCCTCCTCCTCCTCCTCCTCCTCCTCTTCGTCCTCCTCCTCCTGCTCGTGAGTAACAGACAGCATCGAGCGTGATCGTCGTTGCTGTAGGGGGGCCAAACTTGCGCACCAAGGCGCCAGCGCCATCCCTACAGGTAAAACCAGGAGAGCATCGGGCGGAGGCGCCGCTTGTGTTTGAGGGCCCGCTGCCGGCGGCGCGCGAGGGCGCCAGTCTGGCATCAAAAACTCCAGCGTTGAGCAGGAGCACCGTTGCTTGCAGTGGGGCCCGTGGTCTGCGGACCCAGGGCGGGAGCGCCTCTCTTGGGTGCAGCGCGAGGGGCGGCCTCGGGCGGCGAGCATGACCACCTGCAGCACGCGAGAGGAAGCAGTGAGCAAGAGCGTCGTTGCTGCAGGGGCTGGTCTGCGGACTCCAAACGCGAACGCCACTCTGAAGTAAGCAGACAGTGACTATAGAGCATGAGCGCTGGTGTTGATGGAAGGTCCCTTTTCGGCGGCGAGAGAGAGTACCAGGCCTCGGCCACAAGTGAAGAACAATCTAGCGGGAGCGTGGTTGATGGGGGGCCAGTTTGGGCGCGACCCCGAAACGCTCGAGTATGAGCCTCAATTTCAAAGGAAATGCAGCTGGAGCCAAGGCGAGAACGCCTCAAGGCATTGAAGTGGTCTACAGCAACGAGCGCGTAAGTAAAACGAATGTTCAACAGCAGCACACGATCATGGTACTACTGCTCCCGTAGGACCTTTCGAGCGATGCTTTCTGGCCGAGACGTCGAGGCGACCCCGCCGTGTCGACGAGAAAGTCCCAGGACGCCCAAAAAGCCGAAAACGAGGAGGCAAGGGCAGCGGCATCTGTGAAGGGGCCCTGGGACACACAAATGAATACACACAAATAACAGGATTCCCTATATTTCCCCATATTTTCGGGGTGTCTGTCTTCCCCCCCCCACACTTCCCATATGTTCCCATATTTTCCGAGGGAATCGAGGATGAATGGTGTCTGTGTTGTTTCCCCTCCTGAGTCGAGAGCAGCAGGAAACTGCATGAGCATCATTAAAACAGGGCTAGGATCGGGGTAAATCGCTCCAGAGCGTTCCGGAGCGCTCTCAGAGCGTTCCGGAACGCTCTGGAGCGGCCGCGGCGCCCAATACATCCTCCAAACCCGCCGATTCTCAGAGATTTCGAGTTATCCCGATCCGATTTTGTCCCGACCTTCGCGTCGTTTCAATCACATCTCGGAGGCCCGCGCGGCCGCCTTGGATAATGCCCGCGCCGGCCTCGCCCCCGTGGCGCGGGCGGGGCGCGCCACGGAGGGCGGCGCCGGGGGCTCCGCCGGGGGGGGGGCCCGGCTGGGGAGCCCACAGAGGACGTGCGCGCCCAGCGATGTCCATGAACACCTCCTCCTCCTCCTCCTCCTCCTCCTCCTCCTCCTCCTCCTCCTCCTCACTCATTCTCCTCCTCCTCCTCCTCCTCCTCCTCTTGCCCTCTGTCCTCCTCCTCCTTCGAGCCGCGAGACCGGCCGCGTTGTACGGACAGCTGCGTGATGCGCACCGTCGAAACCGACGTGGATTCATGCACGTGTACGTCCGTCTATCGCTCCTGACCAGCGCCCACGCGAGCCGCGCGCGCGGCACTCCGGCTGGTGGTGTTCGTGCAGTGGCGTCTTCTTCGAAGGGTGGATATTAGGGGGAAAACAAACCTACCTCGCTTTTGACCACCCTCGCTTCCAAGAGATACCAAACGATGCCAAACTGCGGCCTGTACTGGTCAGGCCGCTTGACGAGGCGGCGCGTGGTATGGCTTGGTTTTGCCTGGAAGCGACAGCGGGGTAGGTAATTCACGCTCTGAGATACGCTCCTGGACTTCGGCGCCCCCCGGAAGCGGAACCCGAGATCGAAGCGGATCGGAACTGGAATCGGCCGAGATCGGATCGAGCCGAGTCGGAGGACCGACAACAGGGCGAGAGCGGCGGTGGCGGCGAGTCGACGCCCACGACCCGACAAGGGCGAGCCGAACGCTCAGGCAGTGCTGCCTGTGGCGGAACCCTTTATCTTGGACGCCCGAAACAAGTACGGAAAGAATGGGTACAATACCCAACAGCAAATGTTGTCCTAAACCAATTGAGGGGCCCAAGGGCCCTATTACTAACCGGGTCCCCTTACCCGGGGTCCTGGCTATACCCGACTAAAGGCGAGCAAGGACGCCTCGCCACTGCTTGCTGTTGGGCATCGTGCCCATTCTCTCCGTGCCCACTTCGATCGTCCCTTTGGACGTCCGAAATGGGCACGGAAAGAATGGGCACAATGCCCAACAGCAAATGTTGTCCCAAACCAGCAGCGGCCGCTGTCGGGCAGGCGGCCCTCTGCCTCGAATGGACACAGGCCGCGGCGGCGTGGACAGCGAGTCCTGCTCAAAATGCAACAAGATCCGCGGTGGGGCATTGTACCCATTCTTTCCGTGCCCACTCCGGGCGTCCATGACTACCTACCAGACCACCCCAACCCAACCCGAAGACCCGAATTTCGGGTTGGGGGGGGTATGGGCTCCACAGGTGTTTTTTCGATGTTCCCGGACCCCCCCCTACTAGAAATCGAGGGTAAATCAGACCCTTCGGGTTGGGTTGGGGTGGTTTGGTGGGTGGAGAGTCCAGATTGACGTTTTCAAACGCGAGCGGTGCCCGAAATCCCGACCCGCTCCCCAGGACCGGCCTCCTCTGTCTTCGTTGCCCACGGCCCCGGGGTCCGGCGCGGGCCCCCTCGCGATGGGGCCGAAGACCGGAGCAGAGCCTCCCGCCTCTGATCCCTGCACGACGCGAGCATGCCTCGGCTTAGGTCAGCCATGTGTCCCTGCAGGCGGAGCTTGGGCGACGAACAAAGAAAAGGCTCGGAACATGCCCCGAAATTGTCAAGCAAAGACAACTGCGTGTCAAACAAACTGTCAACCATTGTCGAGCGAAAAATCGACCCCGTCTTAATTTCTGACGCTTTGGGAATTTATCCTCCTGTAGAGGGGCACGCCCGAATTGGGAATGGGCGCCTCTTCCTCGACTCGACTGGGGGGCCCGTTTCCACCACCACCAGCACAATTTGGAGGTGGGAAGGAGGTGGAGGAGGAGGAGGAAGGGAGGAGGAGGAGGAGAAGGAGGAGGGGGAGGAGGAGGAGGAGGAGGAGGAGGAGGAGGAGGAGGAGGAGGAAGGACGAGGAGTAGGGAGGAGAGGAGAGGAGGAGGAGGAGGGAGGAGGAGGAGGAGGAGGAGGACCCCCTCCCCTGGAGGAAGGAGGGGGGCGCACATGGGGGTACTGGATGGAGGGGGAGGGGGAGGAGGAGAGGAGGAGGAGGAAGGAGGAGGAGGAGGAGGAGGAGGAGGAGGAGGAGGAGGAGGAGGAGGAGTGCGAGGAGGAGGAGGAGGAGGAGGAGGAGGAGGAGGAGGAGCAGGAGCAGGAGCAGGAGTACGAGGAGCAAGGGAGGAGGGGGAGGAGGAGAAGGAGGAGGAGGAGGAGAAGGAGGAGGAGAAGGAGGAGGAGGAGGAGGACCCCCCCCCTCCGACCTGTGGTGGTGGTGGACAACGGGCCCATCCTCGACGCCCCCCGCTCGGCGAGGGCGGGCGCGGGAGCCCGGTCATCGCCGTCCCCGGCTTCGAGCAGGTCTCGAGCGCCTCGCCGGCGAGCCCGAGGACCTCGGCAGGGCCGCGGCGCGCCGGGCCGCCCGAGGCCCCATTTGGGCGAGGACGACGACGACGAGGACGACGACGACGACGACGAGGACGACGCCGACGCCGACGCCGACGCCGACGCCGACGCCGACGCCGACGCCGACGCCGACGCCGACGCCGACGCCGACGCCGACGCCGACGCCGACGCCGACGACGACGACGACGACGCCGACGACGACGACAACGACGACGTCGTTTTTCGTTTCCGATGCTCGTGTACGGCTGGGCGCGGCGAGAGAGGACGAGGGCGAGGGCGAAGGCGACGGAGGGCGAGGCCGAACCCCTGAAGGTCGCCCAGTGGAGGCGAAGGAGGGGGTGCAGTTTTCGGGCCCCACAGGCCCCCATGATCATCATCATCATCATCATCATCATCCTCATCATCATCATCATCATCATCATCATCATCATCATCATCATCATCATCATCATCATCATCATCATCGTCGTCATCGTAATCATCATCATCATCATCGTCGTCGTCGTCGTCATCATCAACATCATCATCATCATCATCATCATCATCATCATCATCATCATCGTCATCATCATTACCATCATCGTCAACAACACTATCATCGAAAAATCGCGCCGAACAATGTTGTCCGTTCTCGTGTTGTGTTCGTTATCCCTCCTTCTGTCTCCGTTCCACCTTTGCTGAACAACGAAATCAAAACAATCGCGGTCCAAGATATTGCAAAAATACCGTTGAGCTCGAGCCCTGTCATCATCATCATCATCACCATCGTCCTCATCCTCGCCAGCATCAACAATATCATCCTCACATTCATCCTCCTCCTCATCACCGTCATCACCCTCATCACACTCATCCTAATCCCCAATCCATCCTCATCATCATCCTCATCAACATCAGCATCATCATCATCCTCATCCTCATAAACGTCATCCTCATCCTCACACGCATCCTTATCATCCTCATCATCCGCATCCTTATCCTAATACTCATCCTCCTCCTCATTATCATCACCAGCATCAGCATCACCAGCACAATCATCACCACCATCATCACCACCATCACCACCATCATCACCACCGTCGTCATCATCTGCATTATCATCGTCGTCAACATGTTCATCATCGTCGTCATGGGCATGACTGTTATCATCATTATCATCATCATCATCATCATCATCATCATCACCACCACCACCACCACCACCACCATTATCATCAGCATCAGCATCATCGTAATCATCAACACCCACCTCCCCCCCCATCCTCCTCGCCAGGGTCATGTCGGGCCTGTCCCCCTACAGGGGGATTGTCGACGACCAAAAAAAATACCCCAAAAATACCCCAAATTGGTCAAACAATACTCCAAAAATAGTCCCCAGGCTACTTTCGGATTACTCTTTGACTATGCTTGGGGCATCTTTTTTTATTTTTCGTCGAAGACCCCCCCTGTAGGGGGACAGGCCCGACTTCACGCCAGAGGGGCGAGCCCCCATTTGGACACCCGAAATGGGTACGGGAAGAATGGGTACAATGCCCAACAGCAAATGTTGTCCCAAACCAACAGCGGCCGCTGTTGGGCAGGCGGCCTTCTGTCTCGAATGGACACAGGCCGCGGCGGCGTGGACAGCGAGTCCTGTTCAGAATGGACAGGAACTGCTGTTGGGCATCGCACCCATTCTTTCGGTACCCGTTTCGGGCGCCCAGACCCCAGGGGGCCTCGGCAGCAGCGGTGCAGCTCGCGAGCGGCCCGGCGGCCAGCAGCAGCGCGGCCAGCGCGGGGGCGCCTGCGGCGCACGGCATGGCGTCCGGCGCTCGGCGGGGGCTCGGCTGCGCCTGCGCGCAGGAGTGCCGCAGGTCGATACTTCTGTCGGGCGTGTCCCCCATTAGGCCCTACAGGGGGATTTTCGACGAAGAATAAAACAGACCCCCAAAATACCCCAAAATGGTCAAGAAGTACTCCAAACAAATAGTCCCCAGACTATTTGTGGACTCTTTTTTGTAAGGATTTTTGTTACCCAACAAAAAAATCGAAAATCTCCCTGTAGGGGGACAGGCCCGACTTGAGAGTACCTCAGGTCGATATCTTCGAGCCTCTGGAGGTCTGGGGGGGAGGAGGAAGCTCTCGGCGCTCGGCGGGGCTCTGCTGCGCCCGCGCGCGGGAGTACCTCAGGTCAGTGTCTTCGAGCCTCTGGAGGCCTGGAGGGGGTGATAGCAAAGGAGGTCTGGAGGGGGGGAGCGAAAATCGGTGCAGTCGTCCTCGAGGGCGGGGGTCGGGATCGCAACTGCCAGGCGGGCGCCGCTGCCGTTGGAAACAGCAGCCGAGGTGGGCCCAAGAAGGGCCCCAAAGCCAGGGTCACGTCAGGGACACTGCGAATTCCACAGGAGGAGGCAGAGGAAGAGGATGAGGCGGAGGAGGAGGACCTTGACCAGCTTACCCGTTCTTTCTTTCGCCCCCTCTTCGAAATCTCCTTCCCTCTTTTCTCCCCCCCCCCCGCCCCTGGGCGCAGGGGGGCATAGCTTCCCCGCCGCTGGAAGTTTTGTCGGTCACCCATCTTTAACTACCTCTTGTTTGATTCCCCCCGCGGGACAACGGCCCTGGGGGGGGTTGAACTGCGCCGGACACGATTGCGTAGCCATCTGCGCCCTGCGCACAGGACCTCTGAGATCATGTAGTCCCACTTGTTTCGAAACGGGCGTGTTCGCCCAATTACAGGCCATGGAACATCACGGGACGCCCTGGCTCGAAACACCAGCGCAGACGGATGGGGTCCGGGGCTCGAATCGTGAATCGTCACGATGTTGCATGCCCCCTCACGCTCAATCTCTGGAGAGGGGGACTGGACAAAAGAGGAGGAAAACGAGCAAGAGGCAGGAAGGGCTGGAGGAGTTGGAGGAACGGGGGAGGAGGGAGGGGGGATTACTATGTAGAAAAGGGGGCAAAAGAGATTGAACAGACGCGGGGCTTCCATGAAAGCGGATGTACTAGCAGTTTGCAACGCAAGACTGAGAGCGGGCGCGGTGAACGGCCAGGCTGCAAGAGGCAGGCAAGATCCCGTTCGAGTCTGGTGATCAAACACCTCCGTCGTGCACTCGCTGGCAACTAACAGTTGCAAATAAAGGTTGCTCTACTGACCACACCTCCGTTGCCTGCCGCAAGGAGCGCCTTACTGACCGCACTCCTCGTAGAGTTGCCCGCCCGCTTTGTACAGTCACAGATACTGAGCGACTCGTCAGGGGAAGCGATGCGGAACAGGCCCAGCACCTCGAGCAATGTGCACCTCCAACAGACGCCCTACGAGCTGCAGGGGCTACAGTCGGGGCGTTGACCTAAGGAACCCTAAATAAGGAACGAGGCCCCTTTTTTCCATGAGTTAAACTTCGATTCCCATCGAAAACATAAGGAAAACCTGAGGCAAGCTGCGAAACGATCAAAGAACACAGGCCCCGTACTGCAGCTCCGCGCTCCCGCGCGCGGAGAGGGGGGCACGGCGGAACAGCACGTGAGGCACACCCTGCACGAGATCCGGACCGGCCAGCAGAGGGAGGCAGAGGAGGTGCACGCGAGGCGCACCTAGGAACTGGAAGGAGGTGCACGAGAGAAACTGGAAGGAGGTGCACGAGTGAAACTGGAAGGAGGTGCTGGAGGAACTGGAAGGAGGTGCACGAGTGCACGAGGGGCGCACCGATGGGGCAACGGAGGAGCACCACATGTTCAACACGGTGCTGGGCTAGCGCCACTCGGGGCATGTGTAACCCACTGATAGGCTAGGTTAGGCCAGATACAATCAACCTCGGTCGGCATCGACTCATAAACCCCTATCCCAACAGCAACTCCAGCGCCGATGCCAGTACAGATGCCGTACTCCCCGGACCTCTCCCGGGGCGCGTTCTGACCAGACATTCCAGGCGAATCCAGCCGTGGCGACGAGGGCTCCCCGAGGAGGCCCACAAAAGCGACAACAAGGGCAGGGTAGCGGTAACGATCATTCCTTTTCATCCTCTGATCAACATGATGGTCGTCGTCCTGATCGCCGTCGAGGGCTCACCAACGATGACGACTATCACGACGACGACGAGGAGGGTGTCGTCGTCCGCGCCGTCAAACTTCTCCTCCTCCTCCTCCTCCTCCTCCTCCTCCTCCTCCTCCTCCCCCTCGTCCCCCTCGTCGTGGTCACTGTGGTCGCCGTGGTGGTGGTCGGCGTCCTCATTCTCCTGGTCCTCGTCCTAGTCCCTTGTCCACATCGTCGTGATGGTCGTCGTCATCATCGTCATCGTGGGCTCGCCCACCAGCGTGCTGGTCAGCGTCGTCTCCGCCGACTGCCGTATCAGCACCACCCCGGACCCCAGCACCTCGGTGGCCGCGCAGGCGGCGGCGACGAACATCGCCCAGCGCGCACGCGGGCGAGCGAGCGATGCTCCCGACTCAGCATCCGCCAGTCCAGATCCCACTCGCGTCGTGAAGAAAGCACGGCAGACGGCTTTTCGATACTTTCGTGCCCTCACCGCTCGCCTGGCCTCGGGATCGCAAAGAACGACTCGGGATAACAAACTGGCCCCCCGAAGGGGCCCAGATAACTGGGAGTCTACGCCATGGAAAAATCACGACGACGGGAACGCCTCGTGTAAGTCCAGGGCAGGATCAGTCGACATCGAATCGCGGAATCTGCGAGGTGGGGATTTATCCATGTCCGCCGCCTGGGGATCTGGAGTCCTTGGACCCAAGAGAGGCGGTAAAGATGGTTGAGCCACGTGGAGGCCAAATATACGAAAGTCAACCCGTATCATCATGAGGATGCGCGGCAAGGATCCAGGGGCCTTGGGGGGCCATGTTCGCGTTTCTCAAACGAGGATGGCCAGAAGGATGGGGCCGAAGGGGCGAGGATGCCGGATCCAGCTTAAAAAACTGCATGTTTTTGAAGCCGGATCTGGCTGAAAAAACTGCGTGTGTTTGGAGCCGGATCCGTCTTAAAAAACCTGAGAGGACTGCCTGTGTTTGAAGCTGGATCCAGCTTCAAAAAAACTGCGTGTGTTTTAAGTTGAAGCCGGATCCGGCTTAAAAAACCTGAGTGAACTGCGTGTTTTGAAGCCGGATACGGCTGAAAAACTGCGTGTGTTTGAAGCCGGATCCGGCTTCAAAAGTCAAAAGAACTGCGTGTTTTTGAAGCCGGATCCGGCTTACACAGAACTGCGTGCTGTTTGAAGCCGGACCCAGCTGAAAAAACACGCAGTTCTCTCGGGTACCCTTGAGGGAAGGTTGCCCACCTTCCTATGCGGGCCGGCTTTACATTCATGTCCACCGCCTGCCGAGGTCCCCGCAGACCGATCGCACAGGCTGCGGCCATGGATTAGAAAAAAACCCGCCTCGGCAGATCGGCTCGCCCCGGAGCGCACATCGGACCGTATTTGCACTGTGGCGCCACGCAAGCAGGTCAGGCCGCTCCGGATCGCCCACAGATCGGAACTCCACCGGGTGGACGCTGGCCAGAAATTCGCCGGCCCAACGGGCCAGGGCGTGCTAAGATCTCCGGTAACTGGTTAACAGTATTAACAGTATTTCTAGTTCGCGCGCGCGGGGCGGCCCCTGGGGGTCCCCCGGCGAAAAGTACCCCGACCAACGCCCGGTCGCCGCCCGGTCGCCGCCCGACCGCCGCCCGACCGCCGCCCGACCACCAAGTCTACTCAGAGATGGTTTTCCTTCTGGGTGCGGCCTCTCAGGCTCCCCAGAGCGCGCTCAGAGTGCCCCAAGAGGCCCCCAAGACTGCCCAAGAGGCCCCCGAGACGCCCAAAGAGCGCTCGAAGACGCCGAAGATGACCCCAAGACGGCCCAAAAGGCCCCCAAGACAGCCCAAGAGGCCTCCAAGACGCCCCAAGAGCCTTCCAAGAGGCCTCCGAAGAGAGCCCCAAGAGGCCAAAATCGTTGATTTTCATTGGTTTTTTCTATGTTTTTTGTGTTCTGGCTTTTTCGGCTTCCGGACGCTCCAAGACGGCCCAAGAGGCCCCCAAGACCGCTCCAAGACGGCCCACGAAGCTCCCAAGACGGCGCCGAAACGACCCAAGAGAGCCCTCAAGACGGCCCAAGTGCCGCCCAAGACGGACCAAGAGGCCCCAAGACGGGCCCAAGAGGGACTCAGGAGGGATACCGAGAACTCAAAAATGGAGCCCTCCGTCCCAGAAGGCGCCCAGGAGGTCCCAAAGAGGCCCCAAGAGGCCTCCAAGAGGCCCCAAGATGTCGCCAAGAGGCCCCAGGAGACTCCCAGGAGGCCCAAAAGAAGCCCCAGAAGGCTTCAAACATGTCTCCCAGGCGCCCCCGAACGGCCTCTCAACAGACCCCAAGAGGCCCCCCAAAGAAGCATCTTGACGACGACTCTATTTCGCCCCATCGAGAGACGACCCCCAGGGAACTGCTTCACCATCAAAACTCCCCACGCAACGCGTCCGAACGACACCCGCCCCCAAGAGCGCAACATGGGCAACGAACACACAGACAAAAACCAGCGATGCCATATCACGGGCCGGCGGAATGAGCGAAGCGATTCAATAATGTATATAATCGGATAGACAGGGCGGACGAAGGGCAAACGACGGACGACGGCGGAGACGACCACTACGAGGGACGACGGAAGAGGGACAACGACGACGACGATGGCGACGGCGACGACGACGATGGACGGCGGAAGACGGAGACAACAACAGCAGCAGCAACAACGACGACGACGACCAACAACAACAACAACAACAACAACAACAACAACAACACTAGCAGCACCAACAACAACAGCAACACCAACAACAACCATCAGTTTGAGACTGGCCGTTCCTATCTGTTCGCGTGCCATTCAACATGTGAATCGAAATCCCTCGGTACCCGCCCTCTTCGTCTTCGATTGCACCCCCTTGGGGGCATACCTTCCTTACCTGCCACGTGCATTCACCGCAGCCCCCGAGATAGGGGAACAGAGGACTGGCGGTGGTGGAGAACAGGCCCATCAGGAGAGCTATGGGGGCTGCCCCGGAGTGAGCACACGTACGGGGAGCCAAGCAAGAGCGAGAAGGGAAGGGGCGGGAGGCGAAGGTGGAGCGCGGCGCTTCGCATTCCAAGCGGAGCGCCCAACAACGCAGGATGCGCGTGGAAAACGGAGACAAGAGAACAACACCAAAACATAACCAACAGACGGCCAAAACACACACAAGTAACGATGGCACGCTCCAAGCACCAAACATCGTTATTCGACACATGTGAAACGAGAAGGTCATACGAATGAGCTGCAAACTTCTCCGAGGCGGCCCCCCTGCTTTGGTAGTCCCCAACCGTGGTGGTGACAATACCTGGTGGTGAGTCTCGGGCGATTTGGTGTCACCACCCGGTTTGGGGACTCGTGCGGTTTTCCGAGGATGTCCCGGACACTGGTGGGTCCAGGAGTCACAAAACCCTGTGGTGACCCCGCGTCCCCAAACCCAGCGGTGACCTTTTTGGGGATTCCAGGTCGCCACCTGGTATCTCACCACCCGGTTTGGGGGTTCCCAACCTGCTGAGGATGGCGCCCCCAGCCACCGATCGGCGGCAACCCGTTTCCACCCGAAGCTCTGGCCGGGCACCAGGGAGAACCTGCCGGCGGCCGGCCGTCGCCGTGGCCGCCGCTGGCAAACCTTCGCCGCCGTCCCCGCCGCCGTCGTCGCCGCCGCCGCCGTCGACGTCGCCGCTGCGCTGACGCTCGGGGTCGTCAACGTCGTCGTCGTGGTCGCCGTGGTCGTCGCCGTCGTCATCTTCTCGCTGCACAGCCACCACCACCTCCTCCACCTCCATCTCGACCTCCTCCTCCACGTCAGGCACCGCCGTCCAGAGATGTCAGGTATTGGCTCCGTACTCAGAGGCCCCCGCATGCCTCTTTGACCTTGCTCGCAGTGCTCTCGTACCGCGAACTGGGCTTGTCGTATCAGGTATTATTGTGGTGCTTCTGCTCCTCAGCGTGTGGTGCAGGCAACTCGCAAGAACGACAAGGAATGGACGAACCAACTGGCAATGGCAAATCCCAATGGGCCTGCGAGAAAGCAAGCTCAGGATCCTCCGCCCGACTTGGTGGCTCAGATCACGGCAGCATTGGAAAAGAAATCCCACCAGCCCTCTGGGCGTCGGTGGTTTAGAGAGTTTCCTCTTCCACCCCGCCGTCTTCCCCTTCGGGGAGGGGTTTACCCCTCCCCCTACCCCCTCCTTATGGACCTGGACAGGGGGTTCTGCGAGTCGTCAGGGCGTCCAAAACGGCCTCGGTGAGGAAGCCAAAATCATTGAATTTACAATGGTTTTGGCCACATGTTGGCCTCCCGGGGGGGGGACCCTAATTGACGCTCCCCTCTTGTTTGATCGATCTCCTCCAAGATGGCCCCAAGAAGCGCCCAGGAGGCCCCAAGAGGTCCCAAGATGGCCCCAAGATGGCCCCGCGAGGCCCCAAAGTGGCCCCCAGGAGGCCTCCAAAAGACCCCCAAGAGGGCCCAAGAGACCCCCCAGGGGCACACCCAAGATGCTTCAAGAGGCCTCGGCGAGAATGCCAAAACGGCCTGAGCGAGAAAACCAAAATCATTGGTGTTACTCGATGTTGGCCCCACTTTGGCCCCCTGGGGGGGGACGCTAATTACCACTCCACTTCTGTTTGGTCGATCTCCTCCAAAGATGGCCCCAAGAAACGCCCAGGTGGTCCGAAGAGGTCCGTGGATGGCCCCAATAGGCCCCCAAGAGTCCTCCAGGAGGCCTCCAAGAGACCCCCAAGAGGCCCCAAGAGACCCCCCAGAGGCACCCAATATGCTCCAAGAGGCCTCGGCGAGAATGTCAAAACGGCCTTGGCGAGGAAGCCAAAATGATTGGTTTTAGAAGGGTGTTGGCCCCATGTTGGCCTCCGGGGGGGGGGGGGCTAATCAATGCTCCCCTCGTGTTTGATCGATCTCCTCCAAATATGGCCCCAAGAAGCGCCCAGGAGGCCCCAAGAGGTCCCAAGATGGCCCCAAGATGGCCCCACGAGGCCCCCAAGAGGCCCCCAGGAGGCCCTCAAGAGACCCCCAAGAGGCCCAAAGAGACCCCCCAGAGGCACCCAAGATGCTCCAAGAGGCCTCGGCGAGAATGCCAAATCATTGTTTTCACTAGGGTTTTGCCCCAGGTTAGCCTCTTGGGGGGGAGCACTGATTAAGATGACTCCCAGAGCGCCTGGGAGAGCCCAAGACGACCTCCAAGATGGCTCAAGATGTCCCAAGATGTCTCAGAATGGCTTCCCCTGTGTGCTGCCCAGTTCCCTGATCCAGGCAATTCCTCTGGGCATCGTTTCTGGATGGGCTGGTGGGGATTCGCGAAGCGTCAACAATTTGTTCAGAAAGGCCAGCAGGCCATCGAGGCAACAGGCGCGGCCAATGGCAGTGTTCCATCGACTGGGAATATTCATTCTGGGCAGGCTGGTCCGACTGAGGATGACATCAAGGACATCCGCATCGATTCCCTCGACACCGCTCTCAGACAGCTCCACGACGTCGATGATTCGGACCCCGCAAACAAGTACTTGGCGGAGCAGGTACCAAATGCACGTCAAGAGGTTCGGAGTTCAAGGCCCGTGTTTCAACGACATACGACGGCTGCCTTTCGCCTCCAGATCGCTCAGAATCAAGCGCTAAACTCTTTCGAAAGAAATCGATACCCAAAATAATGTATCGCTGTGGCACAGACAGCCCTGCATTCACCACAATAGGAGGCGGCTTGGGAACGAGAAGAAACACAAACCTGCGCCACCCGATGCATGGCACACCTGCGACTACCGAGGGCCGTGGGGCCGGCCTTCTGGCGCGCGGTCCGACCATCTCGGAGGCTCACCGTGGAACGTTCGAGGTTCACTAGGGGGTTTGGAGGCCTGGAGATGGGCACCAACACCAACACAGGGTGTGGCGTCCAAAAAGGGGGGGAAGATGATCCTAGATTACGGCGTTGGTGGAAATACTTCAGTCGCCCTGGAAGCCAGAATATTACCACAATCGCCGAGATCGGAAACTTCTCCCCTCGGTGGAAACACACCGCCGATATCGGTGTTGGTGTCAATCAACCTCTAGGCAAGGTTGGTTCCGGGAGGCTCTTCGGATGGTTTCTTGAAGGTTTGGGGGAGGTTCTTGTCGATCTCGGGGGAGACCAATCCCTAGCGAACCGTGGGCTTTCTAAGGTTCACCCCGATCTCAAGGCCTTCGTAAGGCCCAGCCCCAGGAGCTCTAACAGCAGCCTGCGAGGCAGGCGCCTCCACCAGGGCGCCTCTGATGTTCCAGCCCGTGCCCCTGCACCGGGCCCACGTCAGCAAAGGGGCGATGCCTTGTCGCAGGGATCGCCCTAAGCAGTGTTTTTCGTTTTCGCGCTGTTTCAATTGACCCTCGTTGTGTTTTCCATCCGTCTTTGCTGCAAGACGACATCGAAACCAACGCAGCCACGAAATCGCCAAAACACCGTTTTCGCCGACCCCTGCCTTGTTTGGGGATGGTCCGGTGGAAAGGCTTACCCCAAATAATGTGGAGAAGTACCACCACCCCTTCAAAGAGTAGGTAGTTTAGGGGGGGTCCACCCCTCCCATTTCCCCTTCGGTGAAGGGCCTGTCCTTATTTCCTAGCCGGCCGATAGCAGACCCGCCGTCCGGCCTGTCAAAAAGCAAAACAGACTCAATTTTGTCTCGCCAACGTGTCGTCGAGCCGCGGAAAGTGCAGCAGGAATACGACGGAATGAACATCGCTCAGGTAACCCTAAGCGGGCGGTCGCGTCCTACCCATCCAGAAACAATGCAAAATCAACGTTTTTCTCGTCAATCTGGACTTTCTTGTCGTCGACGCTGCGAAAAGTATAGCAAGAATGGGACGCGGCGCACATCGCGCGCGGACGCCTGGCCAACCCTACGCGGGACCCCCCGTCCGACCTGTCAAAAAACACCGAAGCGTCGACGTTCGTCTTGTCAACATGTAGTTTCTCCTCGTCGGGTTCTGCGAATCGCGTAGCGTGAACGGGACACGGCGCACATCGCGCGGGGCCGCCTGCTGGTCAACGTGGATTTTCTTGTTGTCGACGCTGTGGCCCGCCGGGTTGAAGAGCTGGGCGGGCGGCAAGTCAGAACGCCTCAAGCAAGCGCGGTTCAAGCAAGAGTTTCAGGAGACCCCCAAGAGGTCGAAAAAAGGCGCCCAGGAGGTCCTGAGGGGGCAAAGCAACAATTGTTTATCATGTGGTGTTTGGCGGATTGTGCGGTTAGCACCTACTTGTGTTAACATATTTCCCCAACCTGGAAGATTCATCCAAGAGGCCCTCAGGCGTATACCAGGAAGCTTCCAGGACGCCCCGCGAATTCCCAAGAGGCATTATCCTCTGCCTCCTCAGTTTCTCTCTCCCTCCCTCTCTCCATCCCCAACTCCTCCTCCTCCTCCTCCCCCTCCTCCTCCTCCTCCTCCTCCTCCTCCTCCTCCTCCTCCTCCTCCTCCTCCTCCTCCTCCCCCTCCTCCATGCGCGGCAGGAGCGAAACGATTGGCGGTACAACACGCGTGGCTGGAATGAGACGCGGCGCACTTCGCGCGCTGGACATGTTGCCGCCGACGATGCAACATGAGAGGCCGGAGCGGGGCGCGGCGTACATCGCGCGCGGTCTTGTTGCCCATCGACGTTGCTCAATACGCGGCAGGAATAGGACGCAGCTCATGTCGCGCGCTGAACGTCTAGCCGCCCACGATATAAGATGAGCGACAGGCGTCGGACGCGACGCACTTGCTTCTTATGCTGCGGGAGGGCGGGTGGGAGTGGACGGATCCCTCTGGTTCGGTCGAGCTGGCCAACTTGACCCCTCCCCCTCCCCCTACCCCCTCCCGTCGACCTGGACGGGGGGGTCCGCGGCTAGTTGGAACGTCCAAAACGGCCTCGGCTAGGAAGCCAACATCATTGGTCTTACTAAGGTTTGGGCCCCATTTTGGCCTTCTGGGGGGGCGAGGCTAATTAGGGGCACCCCCTTCTTTGATCGATCTCCTCCGAGATGGCCTCAAGAGCGCTCCCAAGGCGCCCAAGGGTGCCCAGAGAGGGCCCCAAGAAGTAGCCAGGAGGCCCCAAGAGGCCCCCAAGACAAGGCGGCCCAGCAGGCGCTCAAGACGGCCCAAGAGGGCCGCAAGACGGCGCCAGGAGGGTGCCCAGAAAAGATGCCCGAACGACCATTTCGAGTCAGCGGCCCTGGGCGGGCCCCAGGAGTGCCCAAGCGGACCCCAAGAGGCCCCCGAGAGGCTCTCAAGAGGCTTCAAGAGGCTCCCGAGAGGCCTCAAGAGGCCCCCACGATGCCGCAGGAGGCCCCCAAAAGGCCCTCAAGAAGCACAACGAGAGCGCTCCGACAAGACCACCAGAAGCATTCCTGCAAACTCTGACCCACAACCCCTGCACGGTGACGCGATGGGCCGAAGGCCACTAAGTATAAGAGAGAGCGTGATCCACCGCCGCTTTACTGTGAAAATTGCCAACTTTTTCCTCCGGAACCGGGTCGGCCCCACCCCCCCCCCTCCGAAAATTCCCCTCCCCCCCCCCCCCTGCTGGACCCCCCCCCCCCCTCCCCCGGCAAAACCCCCCTAACCAACCCCTCCCCCCCCCCCTCCCTCGAAACTGGGAATGTCACTACCGGTTGGAACCCCCCCCCCCCCCCCCCGATCCTGAAAACCGGGGGGGGCACTACCGGTTCGAACCCCCCCCCCCCCCCCTTACCCTTCGGATCCGAAACCGGAGGGGGTCACTACGGGTTCGAACCCTCCCCCCCCCCCCCCCCTCCCCCCCCACCCCCCTACTCACCGCCAGCAAACGACTCCCGGTCCCACCACCGTCCGCACCACATCCCCCACTGGTGTTCCCAGCACCACTGTCCTCACCACCACTGTCCCCACTGGTTCCACCACCGCCCCTACTGTCCCCACCAGTGCCCCCACCACTGTCGCACTGTCCCCGCTGTCCCCAGAACTGTTCCCACCACGGTTCCACTCTCCCCACTGTCTCCACGGCCCCAACCACTGCCCGACTATCCCCACTGTCCCCACTGTCCCACTGACTCCTCCGCTGTCCCACTGAGCTGTCCCACTGTTCCCACCACTGTCCCCACTGTCCCCACCACTGTCCCCACTGTACCTCTGTCCCATTGTCCCACCGCCGTCCTCGCCACCGCCTTCACCACTGTCCCCACCACCATTGTACCCTCCACTGTCCTCCCACTGTTTCCACCTCATTCCCATTGTCCCCACACCACTGTCCCCACCACCACCGTCACCACCACTGTCCATTGTCCCCCCTGTTCCCACCATTGTCCCCACCACTGTCCCCACCACTACCGTCCCCACCACTGTCCCACTGTCCCACTGTCCCCACCACTGTCCCGCTATCCCCTCACCACTGTCCCCACCAACACCGTCCCCACCACTGTCCGCACCCCCACTCGGTTTTCGAGGGGGGGGGGGTTCGAACTGGTAGTGACCCCCCCCGGTTTTCGAGGGGGGGGGGGGGAGGGGTTCGAACCGGTAGTGACCCCCCCCCCCTTTTCATGATGAGCTGGGGGGGGGGGGGGAGGGGTTCGAACCGTAATGACCCCCCCCCGGTTTTTCCGGAGGGGGGGGGGGGAGGGGTTCGAACCGGTAGTGACCCCCCCCGGTTTTCCACCAGCAGCGGTAGAACACGCTCTTTCAAATATAATGATCCTCCTCCTGATCCTCCTCCTCAGCCTCATTAGCATCATCAGAAGCAGCATCATCATCACCATCACCCTCAGCAGCAGCAGCATCATCGTCACCACCATCACCATCACCATCACCGTCATCATCATCATCATCATCATCATCATCATCATCATCATCATCATCATCATCATCATCATCATCATCATCATAATCATCATCATCATCAGCAGCAGCAGCAGCAGCATCATCATCATCAGCATCATCATAATCAGAATCATCATCAGCAGCATCACCATCAGCATCATCAGCATGATTATCAGTATCAGCATCATGGTCATCGTCGTCGTTGTCGTCGTGTTCGTCGTCGTCAGCACCAGCATCAGCATCAGCATCGGCATCAGCATTAGCATCGGCAACACAATCATCATCACCATCAACATCACACCGATCATCATCACCATAACGATAAACATCATCATCATCATCATCGTCGGCGTCATCATCATGATGATGATCATCATCACCATCATCATCATCATCGGCATCGGCATCGCAATCGGCACCGTTATCAGCCGCACAAGCAGCAGCAGCAGCTTTGCCACCACCACCACTATCATCACCAGCTTCGTCATCATCAGCAGCAACAGCGGGTCATCATCATTGTCATCGTCATCATCCTGTTCATCATGGTCATCGTCCTGCCCACTGCTTTGGTCCCCTCCCCGTCCTCAACCTATTCACACATCATCGCCATCCTTAAGTCGGGCGTTTCCCCCTACAGGGGGATTTGCGACGAAAAATAAAAAACACTTAACAAATACTCCAGAACAAAATAGTCCCCAGGCTATTTGTTACTATGTTTTGAATATTCCCCCTGTAGAGGGACAGGCCCGACTTAAACCTATTTACACATCATCGCCATCCTCGCCATGCCCCTCACTGCTTCTCCTCATCGCAACGCTGCTCGTGCCTGTGCCCCTCTTCCCGATCCCCCCGGCCCTCCCCTGCGACCGAGGACGTCGGCCAAAGGACGACCGACGACGACGACGACACTGGCGACGATGACGGCGACGGCGACGGCGACGACGGCGACGACGAAAACGATGAAGAGGACGAACGACGACGACGACGAGGACCGACGACGACGACGACAACGGCGGCGGTGACGACGACGGCGGCTGCGGCAACCGCAGCGGCGACGGCGACGGCGACGGTGACAACGACGACCGAAACCCGTTCCAAAGCAGTCGCCCCTGCCGGAGTCCGTCCTGGGCAGCCTGTTCGACCCAGACGAGGGAACGGCGGCCGACGACGGACGGCCGACGAACAATACTGCGAATGAGACGACGTTCGGCAGCGCCGGCCGACGTTTCGCTCTTCCCGCCCCCGCGGGTGGGCACTCCGGCCGGAGCTCGCACGGCGGCACCTCCAGGTCGAGCCAGGGTCCTTTTTGTCGGGCCCCCGGGGAGGCGGGGGGCATGGGGACGCGGCAAGCAGGAGGCAGAGAGGGAAGGAGACGGGAAGCTGGACGAGGACGAGGGGGGCAAAACCGGAGGAGGAGGAGGAGGAGGAGGAGGAGGAGGAGGAGGAAGAGGGAGGAGGGGAGGGAGCGAGGGAGTGTGTGGAGGGGGAATGACAGTGGGAGCGAGGATGAGGGGGGGGCAAAGGCGGGGAGAGCGAGGCAGAGGGACATAATGAGGAAACGTGAGAGGGAGGGAGGGCGGGCGGGAGGGAGAAGCGACGACGACCACGACGACAATTAACCACCACCACGACTGCGACAACCACCACCACCACCACAACCGACGACCACCAAGAAGACAACCATGATATGACGACAACAACCAAGGCATACGACGTCGTGCTGTTGTTCCCATACGTTCGGGTGCGCTGAAGAAGAGGGGGCAGTGAGAGAGGTACCATCATGGCCAGAGGCATTTGCGTGTACGAATGGAGGCCAGGGGATGTTCTGAAAGAAGGAAAGCGAGCCATGAAACCTGGGGGGTACCATAGCCCTGGCGATGATACCACCCCTCCCTAGTCTTAGATCGGGCACGTCCCCATACAGGCGGATTTTGGACGAAAGACTAAGCATCGCCAAAAAATACGCCAACACAGTCACTAAACAATCGTCGCCAGACTATGGTTGACTATTTGGGGATACTCCTCCAGTACACCCTGCGAAATGCTTTAGAAATCATGGGTTAAGAAATTCATAGTTTCAGAATTTGAATAAAAAAAAACCCAGGATGTCCATCAAAATCCCAAGGTTTACATTGAAACGTTAAGAATAATCAAAACTCTGGCCGAAAACGTAAGTTTTCTTAAGCATCGCCTAAGGTGTAGAGGACATGCCCGATTTAACCATTGCTGGACGCCCGAGACGTTCTGGCCCGCGGCGAGTTGAGTCCAAAAGAAGCGGCCGCGCGAACGGCGGAAAAACGTCCGCAGCCAAACCGCGGCGGAAGCAGATGAGGGGCAACGAGGGAGGAAACGGCGGCCGCGGAGGAGGAGGAGGAGGAGGAGGAGGAGGAGGAGGAGGAGGAGGAGAGAGGAGGAGAGAGGAGGAGAGAGCAGGAGAGAGGAGGAGAGAAGAGGAGGAGGAGGAGGAGGAGGAGGACAGAGAACTCGCAGACCACGCAGATCGTCAAGGCGGCGTGGGGCACCGGACACGTGGGCCCCCAGACCTCACAGCCCCCTTCTCGGGGGCCTGATTTCGCCACGGGCCATCTTCTTCGGCGGCCCTTCCAGGGCCCCACAGAAAAGGCCCCTGCGCACGCCTGGGAGAGACGAAGCAAACCTCCGTCCTAACGACGACGAAGAAGGCAGCCGCGGCGGTGACGACGACGACGACGACGACGACGACGACGACGACGACGGCGACGAGGACGAGGACGAGGACGAGGACGAGAAAGAGAACGAGGACGAGGACGAGGACGAGGACAAGACCGACGACGACGAAGACCAAGGCGACGACGACGACGACGAAGACGGCGGCAGCGGCAGCGGCAACGGCAGCGGCGACGGCGACGGCGAAGCGGCGACGACCGACATGCTTTCCAAATCAATCGTCCCCTGCCCTGGTCCATTCTGGTCAGTCTGTCCATCCCGGAACGATTCTCGACGACCCCAGGTGGCCCCAAATAGGCTCCCACAGGCCGAACGAACACACGAACGCAACTACAACAAAAGCGGCCAAGACTGTGGACGGGCGCGCACCGCCACAACGCCCGGGTACGTACGACTCCGCAGCGGAACCCTACTCGAAGAACCTCCGCGGTGGCGACGACGGTAACGGCAACGACGCCCCAGCCGTCCCGCCCGTCCGTCTGGCCCGCACGTCTGGATCGCCCGTCGGACCCGCCCGCGTTAATGCACCCCCCGCCTGACCAGCCCGCCCGCCCGCCCGTCGCCGTCATCCCTCGTCAGTCGTCCGTGGTCGTCGTCGGCGTCGTCGTCGGCGTCGTTGTCGCCACGGTCGCCGTGGTCCGGCGGTGGACAAACCTCCCTTTAGATAACCTCCCGTTAGTGAAAACGGCCTGGGACCGAAACTGGCGGACCTGGACCCGCAAAAATGACAGCCGCGACGCCCTCTCGCGAACCGAAAACGGCCAAATCACTAATCGACGTGTCAGGGTAGGAGGCGGACAAGATTCATGTCCATATCCAGTGCCTTTGGGACTTTTTTGGAAGCGGCGCCACAAGGCCGAGGCGCACTGGATATGGATAACAATCGAGCCTCTAGGGGGCAAATGTATCCATACCCAGTGCGCCTCGGGCTTCTTGGGAGGGGAGCCCGAAACTCCACACTGCAGTGGATATACACAAAAGCTCTGCCCGCATAGGATCGGGGATGGACAGACCTCCCTTTAGTAAAACGTGGTTTAGTGAAAACGACCTCGGGCCCAAACCTGGCGGGCGCAAGCCTGGAAAATAACGGCTGCGGCGCCCTCTCGAGAACCGAAAACGGACAATTCACTCTTCGACGTGTCACCGTTAGGAGGTCTCTCCACCCCCGATAGGAGGCCCATCCGCCTCCGAGTGGTCGTTGCCGCCAGCGCCGCCGTCGCCTCCGCCGCCGCCGCCGCCGCCGCCGCCGCCGTCCAGGTCCTTCCAGCCGCGCCTCCGGCAGCGCCGCGGGCGGCGAGCCTCCGGCGGCGGCGAGCCCCCGGAGCCTCCCGGCGCCCCAGACGGCGCCGCGGCGCGGGCGGCCGTCCACCATCGGCCCGCGGGCGGCGCGCGCGCGGGCGCTGCGCGGCGGAGGCCGAAGGGGCCGAGGGTCGAAGGGGTCCAAGAGTCCGAGGGCACCAGGCAGGTTGAGGCTCGGGGGGCGTCGAGGTTCGAGGGAAGGGAGGGAGGGAGGGAGGGAGAGGGAGGGAGGGAGAGGGAGAGGGAGGGACGGAGGGAGGGAGGGAGAGGGAGGGAGAGGGAGGGAGGAGAAATAGAAGGATGGAGAGGAGGGGGCGGAGAAGGAGGAGGAGGACGACGACGACGAGGGGAAGGACGAGGAGGGACGGAGAGGGGCGGAGGGAGGAGAAAGGGGAGGCCG